CACTGTGCCCAACATAAGCTTGTCAGGAGTAAACATACCTTTGAAGACATCCATTTCGATGCTTGGTATTACTATCAGCAATAACCTTTCTTGGGAAAATCACGTAAGATCAATTGCTAAAAGTGCATCTCGAGAACTTGGTTTTCTGTTTCGGGTCAGGAGCTATTTCACTTCCAGTCAGATCCGACCTGTCCTGGAGTACTGTTCCCATATTTGGAGTGCAGCACCGCAACATACCCTGAAACTGTTGGATTCTGTCCAAAAAGGGCAATTCGTCTCGTGGGTGATGCCTCGCTCACAAACTCACTAACTTCTCTGGAACACCGTAGACTAGTTGGTGATCTGGCTCCATTTTATAGATATTTTCATGGACGATGCTTTTCAGAAATATCAACAATTGTTCCTCCCTTGGCAGTCCCCGCGCGAGATTAACCGCCGTCGAGTTCCCAGATAACACAGGATATCCTATGGATATCCTTCTCAAGTCCATTTCAGGTCGGGATATCCTGGGACATGAAAATGATATCCATAGGATATCCGTCAGAGGATATCAAATGGATATTCTGATGCGGATCACCTATGGACGTCCATAAGATGTTCGTCTAGCGAACAAAAATTGTTAATTGAGAATGTTCAAAACAATACGAATCATCACAAATATCACATGCAAATCACACATGTTTATTAGAAATTCAAAGGTAGTTTTCCATCATATAACTATTGTTATATAGGTATAATATGTTTATAGCCACAATTAAGATATCCGATGCAAGTATGAATTCAAATAAACAACAACACCACAGTTTGGAATTTTTCTCTGTTGTTCAATGTTTTCGTACAAAAATATACAATCACTCGAAAATAGCTCTCATATATTTACTTTTTTGTGGTCTTCAGATGGACATCCATGAGATATTCATCCATGGATTTATAGCGGATATCCATCAGAAGATATCTTATGGATAGCCATAAGATATCCAAAGAAAACATAAAATCATATTTATGTCAAAATAACTTTTGTTCTTCAACATTTTCGCACAAAAATATGATTTTTCAGAAATAACTTGTATCTCCATTTTTTTCCTTGGGATTGAGATGGAGATCCATAAGAAGATATATTCGCATCCCTGAATTCAAAACTGGGTAGGTATTTTCTCAATGGATAGTAATAAAATATTCTGAAGCAATAAAATATAAATCAATATGGCATTCGCGCGAATGACAAATTTCCCAAAAGAAAGATGGAAAAATCTAAGAGAATCTAATTCTTGAATTCACCTTAACAGCATTTCGGAAAATAGCTTCATTGTTGCGCTAGGGATAACGCGATTCAAATCCGGCCACCTCGCCTCCTCTATTTATCTCTCAAAAGATTGAATTCAATTCGAATTAACCTCCATGGCTAGAATCGTTCTGATTGGTCTAAAAATGCATCCATGTCGAAAGTCATGGTAAATTGAATTCTTTCATGAGGTATGAGCACACCCCAAGAATCTGAAGCAAATAGTATTCTTTAATTTCCTTAAAGTATTTATTTTTCTTAGTAACCCGTTTTAATTTGTAGTTATTTGCAAATTCAATAAGAATATTTATTATTTTATACTTTTTTGCATGTTTACTTCTTTTTTATATATTCATATTTTAATTTAGTCAGTTTTATATTCACATCATAACAGTATTCCTTTATTTCCTTTGTTTAATTCTCTTATAGTGACCTGTTTTATTTTTTGTTATTTGCAAATTCAATTAGAATATTTATTATTTTATACTTTGTTGAATGTATACTTGTTTTTTTATATATAAAAAATTTTATTTAGTTTGATTTATATTCACATTATAACATTTGTTATTCGGTTTGCAACAATTGAATAAATTTTATTTTTTTACATACTCCTATACCTGGTGATTTTTCAAGGTGGTTAACTCCTATAACTTTTTCATTATTGTAGGTAGTAAAACGTCAATTGGGGTCATGAATTATAGTTCATTTTATATTATTCGACATATCTACTTGCTTTACCGCACTTTTGGTTTAACCGAGGATGGCATTTTCAAACGGGACACCCGGTATTTTATTCCATAATCGGTTAAGGATTATCATAACGAATTTAACGATACTGTGTTTGATAGGATTTCTACAAACGATTAGGAAGATATTCACATTTCCATATCCTCAATGAGCATATGAAAACTTCGAATGAAAATATCTTCGTAATCGTTTGAAATAACCCTATCCAATCCGGTACCGTTGAATTCGTTATAATAGTTCCCAATTCATTATGGAATAATATACATGGTGTTCTATATTGTTAAGGATATTTAGTAATAAATATCCCTGAAAAATATCTCATGGATATTTGTGAACAATATCTTATGGATATCCCTGAAAAATGTCTTATGGATATTTGTGAACAATATCTTATGGATATCCCTGAAAAATGTCTTATGGATGTCCCTGAAGGATATCCTATAGAAGTCCAACTCCTTCCACTCGGCACGTCCATTGGACGTCCATAAGATATACATCGGATATCACTGGATATTCTCTGGATATCCCAAATATCCTAAATGGACGTCCAATGGATGTCCATCGAATGTCCGTGTGTTGACTGGGTTGAGGCTTCGCACCCCTTCGTGGTCACTTTGGACTACTTTGGAGAGCTGCAGAACATCTCTTTCCTAAGGCTCGTGCATCCCCAACGAGCAGCGAGACTCTGGAACACATTGCCAAGGGAGGTGTTCCCCGAGGTATATAACCTTCAGAAATTTAAGAATAACACCAATTCCTACTTATTTTCCTTAGTTACCTAAAAAGAAAATGTATGAGGTGATGCACTTTAGCTATACAAATATTCATCTTCGCCGGTTCAGTCGTTATAGGAAGATATTTGACAAAAATATATCGATGTTCCAAGTTACCAGCAGATTTGAAAACTTGGAACAGGAAAACAAAAGTATCGTTTTAAAATCAATGGCGAATCAGTTTTGTGATTGAGTAATCCAATAAATAAATAACAGCGAATAGGACCAGCAAAATCTCATTTAGCAAAAAAATCTCAAAAATGCCCTCTTTGGTGATGGTGTTGGTGGGGAGTTTAGGGAGTTGTTGTGTGGTCGTGGATGGAGAGAAGGTCTTATAGGTACCTATTATGGTCAGAAACCGTTAAGTACAATCATTCGCGCCTGTATTCTAAGTTTTCGGCGATTTTTTACAACTCTGACTTTTGTAATAAAAAAAAGATTGGCAACACTGTTCAAAGTTGAACAGTGATAGCGCGGCATTTCGCTATGGTTACTAAACATAAGTTACATCTTTGATTATATACACTAGAATACTCAAAGGTTACATGGAATGAACGCCGTATATATTGAATCGATCATGTCTTTTGACTTTTGAAGCTTGTAATGCTATGTTTTTCTGTCATATCGCTGCTTGTAGTTTCAATATACAATATTCCTGAAACAATAATATAACAACGCCACCTATTTCTAATCGAGTGGTATACAGGGTGATTCATTAAGAATGGGAAATCTCTGAACTACAGATAGTTAACATAAAAATAATGAGATTAAGCCCAATATGCCTGATGAGACTGTTGCTGGTTTAGGAGATATAGGGTGTTCTATAGGGGGAGATTTTATTTCGAAATTTCACAATAACTTTGTTAGTTTTAACAGCATGAACATGAAATCTTTGTATTTGTAGGTTTTCTGACATGAGGAATATGAATCTGCAACTTATTTTGTGATTGCTCATAGAGGGTGCTAGTGGCAATCTGTTACATCGATAAATTTTACATCATATATTCTATGTCAATTCATTGATGATCAAAATAGGTGGAAAATCTGAAAGCTCGTTCGGTTATTTTACACTTTTATCATGCGATGGTTTTTTTTTCGAAAATTTTTTTGGTACTTACGTATTTTTGTCTGAAAAAAACGAATTTGATAAGGAAAATGTGAACAAACCACTATTTATCGAGATATTTCAAGAAAAAGTTCGAAATTTTGCCTTATTTTCTCCCTTGTGTTGGATGCATTTACAGGTACTTGCTCTTTTTATTTTGTCATTGGACACTTTATATACTCATGATGTACTTCAATGACACATTGTAAGCTAGAAAATTCGACAGGAAATATTATTTTTATGGCGAGTGTTTCCAATTTAGTGAGCAAGCATACCAGATGACGGCCATTTAATCCATAGGCAATCCAAATACGAGATGTCAAATGTCAATAGATTGCTTTGGAATGACATTACACACGCCATTATTTCAAATGATATTCTTCCTTATTTTCACTAAACATGGAGAAATCACAAGAAAATCATATTTCTAATTGACTCATATAATAAAAAAAATTTGTTCAACATTGTGTCATATATATAAATTGTCCAATGATGGAATAAGAAGGGCAAATTGTTCTAAAATGCGATCCAGACAGGCGGAAATGAGGGTGAAATTTGTAACTGTATAGTGAAATATGTTAATAAATAATGGTTTGTTCACATTTTCATTATCAAATTCGTGTTTTTCAGACAAAAATACGTAGGTACCAAAAAAAAAATTCGGAAAAAAACCCATCGCATGATGAGTGCAAAATTACCGCTCGTTCAATTTCACATGAAAAATATAATCTTTATCAAACTGTCTAGCTTCAACGGTTTTTGTGTTATTCGCTCTTATAGAAATTCATTTTCTACTCGTATTGTGAAATTTCGAAATAAAATCTCCCCCTAAAACACCCTGTATCTCCTAAACCAGCTATAGATTCTCATCAGGCATATTGGGTTAAATCTCAGTATTTTTGTGTTAACTATCTGTAGTTCAGAGATATCCCATTCTTAATGAATCACCCTGCATATAACCATACGGAACAACTATACATGACACGATGTTCTGAAATTCAATCAGCTGTGGATTTCAAGAGGTAATTTGAAAACTTGAAGTTTTGTTCCAATTTACCACGCAGTTTCAAAAAGTATGCCCATTCTACGGTATTCTTTATTGTTTGATCAATATCTGGTATACACTTGACTCTTAACAGTTTAGTCTGCTGGAAGTTACCAAAGCAATAATAAATCCATGGAGATGAAGACATGTCTAATCAAGACAGTGCTTGTGACACAATTTTATTGTCATAATTTTCGGATTTTTGTGTTGCATTATTCTCTAAATTTCAAAAATGGATGAGAGTGACTTCAGCGAAGGAAATGAAGAGGGAGATGAAGTTAAAGAAGATGATCTTGATCCTGATGATCCAGAACACTTTTTTCCCATCATGGAAAGAACTTTTAACAAGGTATTTTTTTGTTTATTCATTCCCCATTCCATTAGCGATCTACTATGATGACAACCGTTTGAACTATAATGAAAAAAGATGTACTGAGTAAAACGTTTGAGATGTCTGTTTATTTTATTCAATTATCAAATTTGTCGAGAAAATAAATACCAAATTCTTCTGTTCTGTAGGAAAAATTTCATGCAATAAGTTTTAGACAGCATTTTTTTCAGCTACTTTATATTTACAGAGTGTCCCTCTTGAATGTGTCACCAGTCTTTATCCGCGTAATACTCAACATATTTTGGTAATTCAGAAACTTTTCAGAAATGATTTTCCACAGATTTTTCGAATCTGTGCTCACTCTCACGCACATTTCGCTTGTCCAACATTTGATCCTAATAAAACAATGTACTATTTTCTTCCTCTGAATGTCCTGTATACCGAAAACAAAGCAGCTTCTAATTTGAATACCCCCCTGCTACTATAATAAGACGTGGATCACCCTGTAGAGATTTTATTTCATAGAAGTATGAAGTAATTTCGATATCTGAATCTCTTTGCGTTGTTAATAACATTGTTGAGTTGAAAATTTACAATCATATTGTATTCTATTCAAAAGGAATATTCTCAGATAAGTATGATTATGAACATAAAAAATGGATATATATACCGGGTGGCTACGAAAGTATTGCCTACGGAATATCTCAGTTATTGTATGAAGTAGGTTCGTGAAATTTGGAGCGTCGATATAATGACATAAGAGCTAGAATTTGAGCATATTGACATGTCGAAGTAAAATTCCGGTCTGACCGGAAGTAACATCAACTTTCTTATTTCAAATGGAAATCCTATTTTTTTTTTCTTTTCGCTTTATTCAGCATTCAATTCCCTTTCTAATGACATATCACAAGTTGGTATCTAACCAGAAACTAGATCAGAAAAAAATTATTATTGAAATTCACCGAGTAGGCCGTGGAAGCAAAATGAAAGCCAAAAATTCAAAAGTTGGCCATGGAAACCATACGACACTTGATAACAGTTGCTACTACTGTCATATTTCATTTTCATTCGTCGGCGTTATAAAAAGCCGCAAAAAAAAATATTGGAAAAATTGGGAAAAAACAATACTCTGTAGGTCCATAACTTAAATAGGAACATACAACTTTTTCTTGCCTGTACTATTCAGCATAACCATTCCTTCCTAATGATATAATAGAAAGTCATTTTTTGGCTTTCATTTTGCTTCCACGACCTACTCGGTGAATTTCAATAATAACTTTTATCTGATCTAGTTTCTGGTTAGATACCAACTTGTGATATGTCGTTAGAAAGGGAATTGAATGCTGAATAAAGCGAAAAGAAAAAAAATAGGGTTTCCATTTAAAATAAGAAAGTTGATGTTACTTCCGGTCAGACCGGAAGTTAACTTCGACATGTCAATATGCTCAAATTCTAGCACTTATGTCATTATATCGACGCTTCAAATTTCACAAACTTACTCCATACAATAACTGAGATATTCCGTAGGCAATACTTCCGTAGCCACCCGGTATATAAAGAAAAACATTGAGAATTCGCATTCTCTATGTAAGGAAAATATCAATTCTTTCTCGGTGCATTCGACAGAAAACAACTACTTTCCTGACTATATGCCACGACGAACATTGAATTACATCTATTGAACATACACGATAAGAATTTTAAAACAAAATCTTGTGAAGTAGGTAGAGAATTTGCATTCTCCTTCATATAAAGATATGCACATGATATCATTCTGAGTATTCAACAGAAAACAACTACTTTCCTGGCTATTTGCCACGTCGAACATTGAATATTCAATGTTCAACGTATTCAATATAATATTATATCTGTTGAACATTCAAAAAGAGCATGAAAAATGAAAATCCTCTGGAATTGAGAATTGACATCATCTCTCAAATCAGAATGATATTATGTGATGCATATCTTTATATGAAGGAGAATGCAAATTCTCTACTTCAGAAGATTATGTTTTCAAATTCTCATCGTGTGTGTTCAATAGATGTAATTCAATGTTCGTCGTGGCATATATAGTCAGGAAAGTAGTTGTTTTCTGTTGAATAATCCGAGAAAGAATTGATATTTTCATCACATATAGATAATGCGAATTCTCAATGTATTTCTTTATATATACAGGGTGTTTCGACAGGTGAAGGGAAATATTTCAGTGATACATAGGGGTCACCAAGGTGGTTCTGATAATACCATATTTGATAGGTCTTAGAATCTTCATAACTGAGATACAGGGCGATTTATCGATTTCGAATAATTATTCATTCGTCTATAGGTATTGAACTACCCGGTATATTTTCCCCAAGTTTGGTATGGATCATAAACTTGAGACGTTGAATTTATTCACCTATCGGGCGGAGCGAAAATCTAGGTTCGGCTTCAGGAAAAATTTCCATTTATTCGAAATATTAAAATAACACACTGTATGTAATAACTAACAGAGTTCATCGAGGGAATCGTGAAGAGGAGGAAAAACTGAATTGGATTTGATGCTTTTTGTTTACCCGCCACCAATTCGCATCGTAACAATCATAAACAGAAAGTTAAAAGTATGTCAATTTGAAGAGTAATAAAATTATAAAACCAGTTTTAATTATGATTATTTGATATATTTTAGTTGAATGATCGTTCGAAAGAACTTACTGAGTACCACTGTCTTTATAACAGAGATACAGGGTGAATTATCGGTTTTGAATAATTATTTACTCGTCCATAAGTATTAAACTACGCAGTAATATTTTCTCAAATATGGTACGGAGCTCACTTGGGACGTTGGATTCATCGACCTATCGGGCGGAATGGAAATACAGGTTAGGCTAGACAAATTTACATACATTCGAAAAATAAAAAACACACTGTAAGTTCATCAAAAGAATAATCGTGAACGGGAGAAAAAACTGAATTGGATTTGATACTTCTAACGATTATTCAACTAGAAGATATCAAATAATTATAATTCGATAATTCACCCTGTATCTCCGTTATAAATACTGTGAGACTTTTCCTGAAGCTGAACCTGTATTTCCATTCCGCCTGATAGGTCAATGAATCCAACTTCCCAAGTAAGGTCCATACCAAATTTTGAGAAAATATCACTGGGTAGTTCAATACTTATGGACGTGTGAATAATTATTCGAAACTGATAATTCACCCTGTATCTCTGTTATAAAGACAGTGAGACTCAGTAAGTTCTTTAATATATCAAATAATCATAATTAAAACTGGTTTTATAATTTTAATACTCTTCAAATTGACATACTTATTTTAACTATCTGTTTATGATTGTTACGATGCGAATTGGTGGCGGGTAAACAAAAAGCATCAAATCCAATTCAGTTTTTCCTCCTCTTCACGATTCCCTCGATGAACTCTGTTAGTTATTACATACAGTGTGTTATTTTAATATTTCGAATAAATGGAAATTTTTCCTGAAGCCGAACCTGGATTTTCACTCTGCCCGATAGGTGAATAAATTCAACGTCCCAATAGTTTATAATCCATACCAAACTTGGGGAAAATATACCGGGTAATTCAATACTTATAGACGAATGAATAATTATTCGAAATCGATTAATCGCCCTGTATCTCCGTTATGAAGGTTCTAAGACCTATCAAATATCGTATTTTCAGGAACACCTTGGTGACCCCTATCACAGTTGCCCCTATGTACCATTGAGATATTGCCCTTTACCTGTGAAACACCCTGTATATCTATTTTTTCCTGTTCAGCATATATCTGAGAATATTCCTTTTCAATACTTTCACCCAATCAAGGGGTCCAAACTTGAACGATGGAAACTTGTTATTTTTATAGACCTCAATCGCAGATTCGTGATTGGGTTTTCTCAATTCAGATTTTTTTCCCACGTCCTGTATGATGAATATCAATTTATCATACATCCAAAAAAAAAATTATTGTAGACATTGGGGGAAATGGAAAAGAATCTTGAAGCGTCCCAGTTCGCCGATGAGTACAACAAGCTATTCGAAGCCTTCTATCAAACCTACACCAGGCAAAAAGAACTGGAAGAAACGACTAAATCGATGGAAAAAGAAATCGAAGACAAAAACAACAAAATTGCGCTCTCCATGCAACTTACCGAAAAAGATTCAGAAACTATGGAAGAACTCAAGACTCAGATCAACCATGCCTGGAAATTGGCCGATGCTGCTCATGGTAGAGAGCAATTGGCTCAAGAAATCATAGACAATTTGAGGAGACAAGTGGAGAATCTGAATGCAGAAATCGATTTTAAGAATAAATTGAATCAATCCGATGATGAGTAAGTCGAGCTCAAGCGTGCCAGGTGTCCTGCAGGACCTCTTATATTCCCTAGCTATATACAAATTTCAAATTATAGGTATTTTCGAGGTTATTTAATAACCTTGAACGAAGCAACGGAATTACTTCTAAAAGCACCAATAATCCTGTTTACTCACATTCAGCCCAGAGAATCTAGAGATATCAGAGGGCATCACAAATGTAGAACAATTATATAATATCATTAATCATGTCCCAATAATAATATACATAATACAACCGTGAATAGAATTGAGGTCCCACTGAAATCATAATGACACATTGTGATACAGAATGCAACCATTGACATAATCTCTACTATCTAGACCGCTAATGCCATATGAGACAATAACTCGGAAGCTCATCCATTTAAAATTATTGCCCTTGTACCGATATTTCCGAACACCAAAGAACAAACTGCCCATATACCTAGGTATTTGGTTTGATTAGAAATTAACATGAAAAAAGTATATTGACCTCCTCAGAGGAGAAGATATCCTAAACTTAGTAAGTACATATACATTATAATAATAATAATAATAATAATATGCTTTATTGTCTGAAGAAGAATCTTGTTGACAAAGCTAGGTCAGATAATATTGTAAAAACAGGTTAAAATATAACGACATAAAAATAAATGACAAAATATAGTCAAAATAAATACCACATTAAAATACTAAAATATCACAACTCAAACGTATCACTATAATATTCCTGCAAACTGTAATAGGGTCTATCAGAGAGGAACTTTTTGACTTTCTTCCTGAATTGACAGTCATTCAGACTTGCTGATCTAATATCAACTGGCAAGTGGTTGTACATTTTTCCACCATTATAGTATATGGAATCTTTAATGAACTCTCTTGTGGGTAGAGGAAGTTTCAAACTGAAATTTCTGTTACGCGTGTTATGATGGATGGGAGTTGTAGTGATCGAATTTCAACTTGTGCTTATTTATCAGGCAAACAGATTCCAGAATGAATAGCGCAATCACTGTCAATATTTTATTATTGGAAAATAAAATTCTGCAAGAATCTCGGGGTATGACATTACACAAATACCTTATCGCTCGTTTCTGTAGAAATTAACAGAGTTTTTAAAGACGTTGGACTGCACACTCCCCAGAAAGGTATTCCATATCGTAATTGGGAATCTATTAGTGAATAATATACCATCTTGGCAGTATGGAATCCTAATTCCCTAGAAATCATTCTCACTGCATAACATCCAGAAGAGATCTTACCAGTGAGTATCTTGACGTGGTTACCAAATTTCAGATTTTTGTCGATCAACAATCCCAGAAACTTAGTATCATTTCTACTTTCAATAAAATTATCACCAAATGTGATTTCATCAAGGGAGGATCTGAATGATATTATACTAGTTTTAGATATATTGAACGACAGAATATTGGCGTCACACCAATCTTTCACCTTTTTCAAATCAGATGATATCATTTGATGCAGATCTCGAGGATTCCTACTATTCCATAATATAGTAGTATCATCTGCGAATAGAGTGAACTTTCCAGTTATATCAATTTTCGTGAGGTCGTTGACATACAAAATGAAAAGTACAGGTCCTAACACAGATCCCTGTGGAACACCATGATCAATATTTCTCTTCTTGGAGAGTTCTGTCGTTCTGACCACTTGATTTCTTCCTGATAAATATGATTCGAATCATCTGTATGTCATTCCTCTGCATCCATACTGATGAAGCTTTCTCAGCAGCATTATCTATTATTCACATATCCTGAGTCGAAATAACTATCTGATAAATTTTTGGGGAATAAAAAGAAAACTACGAAATAGCCACAATGCTCAAAGTGGAATGAAATGTTAAATAAATACAAAAAGCTCAAAGTCATTTCCACACAATGTTCATGAAGTGAACAACAATGGTAGATTTCGGGAGAAAATCATCAGTGCAGTGTAGTCTCAGACTGCACTGATGCGAGTCAAAAAGAGCTCGAAACCGGTCTGTGGTTGTCTAGCGTGGCCTGGCTAAATCGAAATCAATAGGCATTCAGGAAAGAAACACTCGTATCAGTATTCGTTATACGAGTCGATGCATATATTTCGGTAGGATGTAATTCAATGTTCTGCGTGGCATTAGCCAGGAAAGTAGTTTTTTTTCTCCCGAAATCTACCATTGTTGTTCACTTTATGAACATTGTGTGGAAATGATTTCGAGCTTTTTATATTTATTTAACATTTCATTCCACTTTGAGCACTGTGGCTATTTCGTAGTTGAAACTACGCCAGTCGGGCAACCAGTTACTCCCGTATGGGAATTTCAGTTTTGGAGTTATTCTTTCCTTTCTAATCAGATGGTGTTGCTTTATTGTCGAGGAAAGACGCCTCTGGGGGAATGAAATGCCGATATGATTTTTGTTTGGCTAGGAAAATAGAAATCAACGCAGAGAAAAGCCAAGCTGTCCTCTTCACTAGACGACGTACCAAACCCACAGGACACGTAATACTAAACGACACACAGATACCATGGGCAGATGAGGCAAAATATCTAGGGGTAACCCTAGATAACAAACTTATATACTTTCAGACAACACCTCACAACACGACTAAACTTTGGCAAAGCCGCAAGGCAAAACCTACAGCCTCCAATAGGCCACAGAAGCAACATATATGGCTCTAAAGTTGAAGCTGCGCCTAATAAGAACCATCCTACTTCCAATAATTTTGTATGCATCAAGTGAATGGGGCCAATGCGCAGAGACATACAAAAAGCGAATACAATAAGAATGGCAGTAAATGCCCCATGGTATATCCCAAATAGATTTATCTATAGGGACCTGAACATAAACCCAGACTACATAGACAACTACATAAGACAACACGCGGAGACTACATTCGGAAGAACAGAAACCCAATTCACCAAATATAAGATAAACAAACGAAAGTAAATCAATATCAATAAAAGTTGCATAATAATCATCAGATAATTAAACAGAAGAGTCTCTCCTTTGATACCCTATAAAAATGTAAACCAATAATAATAATACCTAAACTCAAATTTGCTTCCCATTAGGGGTAGGGGGTAGGGAACCACCACGCAAAGTCAGGCTAGGAAACACACATTAGACAAAAAGGTTCAAAAGTCGGACGACTGAAACCAAGTAAGGGGTTTTATAAAACCATATAAAACACATGCAGATTGCCAAATGCATAAGGTTGAAGTCCACTCGTTAGTGAGTGAGGGTGGATGGACATGATGGGGATGAGGAGCTATCATATAACGTAAGCTAGTTATATGGCGGCACTTGATCCTGGGCATTCAACCTTTCGGGGGGCGTGGTGTGTGTGTGTGTTTCTTCGCTGAGTCGGCGGTCTTAGGACTGCTGGCTGGAGACTACACTGCACTGATGAGAATCAAAGAGCTCGAAACAGGTCTGTGGTTGTCTAGCGTGGCCTGGCTAAATCGAAATAGATTTCCGTAGGATGTAATTCAATGTTCTGCGTGGCATTAGCCAGGAAATCTACCATTGTTGTTCACTTCATGAACATTGTGTGGAAATGACTTTGAGCTTTTTGTATTTATTTATAAAAAAAATTTCAATCCATTATGTAATTTCGAAATAATGATCTTTTTGCCTAACATTGTTCAATTATTATAGTGCTGGTGAATTAAGCAAGCACAAAGATGGTTTGGAAAGAGAAAGAGATCGGCTTATTAATGAGGTGACACAGTTGAACACCAAACTGCAAAATGCCTTGGGATATCAAGAGGAGCTTGAAAGAAAAACGTCAGAAGCAGATTTGAAAATTAATGAAATATCAGGACAGTTAGAAGTAAGACTGAAATCGTAGATATACAGAATGAGTTGCAAAATGCAGTTTTAATAATTTTTTTTCTGTGACGGGAAAAAAGTTTGGCATTTCATCTCTGTTTGCAGGTTATAAAATGTCACTTCTCATAAATTACTTTTTTCCCGTGGGCAAAAAGTGAGTACTTTTTTCCCGGAAATATATCACATTTATATACACTGATGATGGCTTTTGTTGTGCTATTGTTCCGAAAAATGAGTCAATAATACCGTCTCCGAGAAAGAATTGCATGTCCTTTTTTGAAATCAAATCACAGAATTAGACTGACAGAAGTGACATCAGATATTTGATTACTTCAAAACAATGATAAAGATGCCTAAAACGCAGACAGGTGTGCCTACTGTCAGAAACTCAAAATTTCACGTCGATAATTTTCAGATTTCAAAATAATGTAATATCTTCTCGATATTGATTCGTCCTTTCTTCTGTCACAGAAAAAAATAGTGTATTATACACGGGAAAGATATTAGATTTTAGCTCACGGTTTTTTGTCTCCCTCTGCTACGCGTCGGGAGACAACACAACCTGGACCTAAAATCTACAACTTTTTCCCCTTGTATAATAAATAACTATTACTGCCTGCTGAAACCAGTAGATCTATTCTATTCGTGAAATAACTTAAGAATGAAATAATGAAAAACCTTGTCTGCCGTTTAAAAATATGCCAATAACTCAATAGGTTCTCTCAATTTTCACTGCTCTTTTTATGGTCCGAAAATATAGCATGACCAGGATTTCTTCAGGCAACCAATTTTTCATTATAATGTTCAACATACTGAACTGGTCAACATTGATAACGTCGTGCTCCAAAATATAGCCTGAATTCAAAGTAGAATAACTCACGAATTCCCTCACCAATTTGAAATCGGTTTTCACCGATGATTAGCCTAATCTCTCGACAGTTTGTTGTGGCAATATGAAACTTCTGTAATTTCAGATACCATTGCTACAGGGTGATAATTGAATGGGTGTAAAATTGCATCGTGGTCGTCACTTTACCGTTTGAACAGATGATTTTTTAATTTTTTTTTCTCACCTGTATCCTCTTGATTGATGCTTTCTCTCGAAACGTTTTCGGAATTTCCAAACTCAGAGCTTTGATAATCGTGTTATGAATATTCATTCAGAATGATGCATTTTTTCGACGATTAATTGAATGAAATTGAAAGTCGGAGTTCTTCTCCGGAGAATCAACGTTGTATGTATAGTCGTCGGATATGTGATCGTGTTCGAACACGAAAAATTCTGAAAAAGTCTATACAAAAAGTGATACAAGAAATACTGAATGATGGAATGGAGAATAACGTAGTCTCCAGTAGATGAAACATAATTTTTTCTGTGATACTGGTGTCTGATCTCGAAATGGTTTTGTGATTTCTTGGATCGAAGGTCATACAGGGTGTTTCAGACTTGAATGTACATACGATACCTGTAGATAGAGGACACTTTGGTGGTTCCAAATCACCCCCCATTGATATGTCTACCGTCTTTTATAACTGAGAAACAGGACTTTATCTTGATTTTGGCAAAATCTTCAACTGGTTATAACTTTTGAACCACCTTGTATAATTTATCCATACTTGGTAGAAATATTCCACTTATATTACCCACCAAAACCAAATAAAAATCCGGATCAGAATCCAGGTCCGTCTTGGGGAAAACCAGAAAACTTCTTTTATCTCAAAAACAACGCCCTGTATGGCAAAATTTTGTAGGTCTGTTTCGATATTTGGAAAAAGCGGAAACAAATGAAATAAGTGACTTACTTTTTACGAGTGCGCATCTAATTTGACAGATGGTTTATTATCATGTTTTGAACTATTCAGCTCCATTTCGAGGCATTTTCATTGAACTTATAATTCAAAATTCAATTTTAATACAAAAAAATAATAGTCTTCAAAGTTCAACATCATTACAGTCAAATTAGGTGAACTATCGATAGATTTGTTATGACAGAATCACTTGTCTATGGTATCATACATTTTTGAGGGCTCATTTTATTTTCCACTATTAATTCACGAGCTGCGGTTAAGTAGGCTGTGCAAAAAAAATCTGATATTCTGACAGGTCATAATCACTAGTGTGATATTATTGGTGACGTTAAGATAATTATTTCTGGTGCTTGTATTGGGTTGTTACATTTCAAAGTGTTCATAATTGTGCCTACAATAACTTTACCAATAATATCGCAACTGTAGTGAATATGAACTGTCAAAATTTTCATTTTTCCTTCACAGCCTACTTTACCGCAGCTTATGAATAAACAGTGAAGTATAAAATGAGTCCTCGAAAATTTTTAAAATCATCGACAAATTATTCTGTCAAACAAACAAATTTATCGATAGTTCACCTAATTTGACTCTAATGATGTTGAACTTTGGAGACTGTTATTTTTCTTTATAATAATTGGGTTTTGAATTATGAGTTCAATAAAAATGCCTCGTAATGGAGCTGAATATTTCAAAACATGATGATAAACCATCTTTCAAATTGGATGCGCACTCGTAAAAAGTAGGTCACTCCATTCATTTTTTTCCGCTCTTTCCAACTATCAAAACCGATCAATAAAATTTTGCCATACAGAGTGTTGTTTTTGAAATAAAAAAAGATTTCTGTTCTTCCTCAAGACGGACCTGGATTCTGATCCGGATTTTCATTTGGTTTTGATGGGTAATATAAGTGAAATATGTCTACCAAGTATGGATAGATTATACAAAGTGGTTCAGAAGTTATAACCAGATGATGATTTTGCCAATATCAAGATAACGTCCTGTATCTCAGTTATCAAAGACGGTAGACATATCGAGGGGGGGTGATTTGGAACCACCGAAGTGTCCTCTATCTACAGGTATCGTATGTACATTTAAGTCTGAAACACCCTGTATAATGAAAGTACGCATTTTTTCGAAATGAAGCATTTTCGTTAAGATAAATTATAAAATACGAAAAATTACAATTTTAGTTCCAGAAGTATGAAATTCATATTTATTCTTGACGATGGATATACAAATTACAAAACAATTTCGATGTCAGACACCAGACATCCTCATGACGAAGTAACACTCCATTATTCCACTAGTAACACAGAGAAAATTATGTTTCACCTACTGAAGACTATACGTTATTCTCCATTCCATTATTCATTCACTTTGTATAGACCTTTTCAGAATTTTCTGTATACGAACACGATCACATATCCGACGACTATACATACAACGTTGATTCTTCGGAGAAAAATTCCAACTTTCAATTTCATTCAATCAATCGTCGAAAAAATGCATCATTCTGAATGAATATTCATAACACGATTATCAAAGCTCTGAATCTGAAAATTCCGAAAACGTTTCGAGAGAAAGCATCAATCAAGAGGATACAGCTGAGAAAAAAAAATAAAAAATCATCTGTTCAAACGGTAATGTGCACGATGCAAATTACACCCATTCAATTATCACCCTATAGAAATGTTATCTGAAATTACAGAAGTTTCATATTGCCACAACAAACTGTCAAGAGATTAGGCTAATCATCGGTGAAAACCGATTTCAAATTGGTGAAGAAATTCGCGAGTCATTCTACTTTGAATTCAGGCTATATTTTGGAGCACGACGTAATCAATGTTGACCAGTTTATATTACTTATAAAATAATTTTCGAAAGATATAAGATCAACTCTATTTTTCTTTACTTTAATTCAATCTCATTATTGTATGAATTGATTATTTGTTTTCAGTTTAAGTATTTATATCATGGAAAAACAAAACCACCATAATTCACCTCTTCCACACACAGGTCACTAACCTATGTGAAGGAGATACAATATGAAATAAACAGGGTGTCCCTTAATGATATGCTAATATTCAAGGGGCCGATTATTCGACCCATTTCAAAAATTAAACTTCATATGAACATATCTCGTATACGTCCTATCTTTTGAGATACAGGGTGTCAATGTCGAAATTATGCATAGATTCTGTTTTTGTCCACTGGGTATTTTTTCGTGATGGCAAAATTCAGTCTGCTATGTGAATGAATCGGTATGAAAATTTCAAAAGGTTACATACTGTGGATATCCAGTTATGGATGTCCTGAATTGAGTACTCAGATATCAAAATTTGAAGTATGGTCTCGTTTTTCCGTTTTTTCTCTGAAACGAAGCGTTCTATCGAGTATCAACAGGAGGATCTTATTAATTTGTACATAGCTGAATAGCCTTACTAGCATTGTACGAAAATTAAAAATTTTCCGTCGTTCACTTTTAAGTAAAATGTAAACAATAAAATTCGCGTAATGGTGCCATTGGTAGAGAAAATGACAATTTGTGCACATCATAGAATGCACCTTGATGTATAAGAGAAGTGTATCAAACTTCATGCAGATGTATACACAATTGTCTCAGTTATTATCTAGAAACTACATATTTTTCAAAACTTCATCACCCTGTATCCTGTATCTCAAAAGTTAAGACGTTTAGGACATACGTTCGTATGAAGTTTTCTTCTTAAAATGAGTCAAAGAATAACTCCCTCAAATATTAGCCTGTCTTTAAGGAACACCCTGTATATACATGTGATTGATATTCGATGAAAAAATGAAGATTTTACTCGATTCATTGAAGGGTGTCGTTCAATGTTATATTTCTGAAACAGGATCAATCTGCTGAGATAAATCGTCAGAAGAGAGCTAGAGAAAAACTAGAAAACGATATAGTGGAGCTGAAATATAAGATCGAAGAGAAAGATGCTCAGAAGAACGATCTGCAAACCGTCATCAGCCAACAACAGAAAAACATCGGGAGGCTGGAGATGGACATCAAAGAAGTGAAATCGTCTCACGATAAGCTCTCCAAAGAACTCGAAATTGCACTGAATAAGTTGGCGAAACTTCAGGATGAGTACAATAGTGCTCTTTATGATGTGGATAGAGCCAAGAAAGGTTTAGAAGAAAAAGTTCGAGATGGCAAGGTGAACCCAGTTTGTAATTCCTAATACTATTTCTTGTGATACAAATATCAGTAGTATATGAAAATACTCAAAAACTCAATTCCATAGAATTCTTTCAGAAAATGTCAAAAATTGTGAATTGAACTGAGTATTTTTTTTTATCGCTTGGAGCGCACGAAAGGAAATCCCTATAATGTTCAAAGAACATCGTGCGTTCCTAGGGAGGATAGGGACAGGAGGTAGGTATTGGATTTTTTTTTTGAACTTCTGGAGATTATATGTTGTTGGGAATACTTCCTCAGGCAATGAATTCCAGAGCCTAGCCGTTCTATGGATGAAGGAGTTTTGATAAAGTGCTGTTCGATATCTTTCGAGGTTGACAACGAAAAGATGTGCTGACTGGGCTTGTCTAGTTCGTCTGACTGGTATTGCTAGTGAAGGGATGATAGCAGAGATTTCCGACGAACATTTCCCGTGGAAGTATCGATATAAAAGTGCAAGGTCGCCGACCTTTCTACGGTGTTCCAATGATGTCAAAGAGTGAGTGAGTGTGGCGTCACCCACCAGGCGAATGGCTGTTCTCTGGATGGAATCTAAGAGCATCAGCGTATGTTTTCGTGCTGAACCCCATATGTGGGAACAGTATTCTAGAACAGGCCGTATCTGCGCTTTGTAGATCATGAGAAGCTGTTGAGGTGTAAAGTAGCTTTTCGCACGGAACAAGAATCCGAGTTTTTGTGGAGCAGCTTTTGCGATCGATCTGACATGATTATCCCATGAAAGAGTGTTGCTGATGGAAATACCGAGCATAGATATGATGGGCTTGGTGGGGATGCTGGTGCCAGATATTACAATATCGGGCATACTGAGTTCCGCCTTTCTAGAGAAAATACAGGCTTGAGTTTTGGTGGCGTTGAATTCAACTAGGTTGTTGGTTCCCCAGGCTGTGATTTCAGCAAGGTCTTCATTGACAGCATTGACCTTTCCTGCGCCGTGAGTTCTTAGTTTCCTGGGAAGACATGGGAATTCTGGAAGAGAACGCAGTATGGAGGGTACTATCATCTGCAAAGCTGTGGATGGGGCAAGTTGTTACTCCCAACAGATCATTGATATGAAGCAGGAATAATGTTGGTGCCAAAATTGATCCTTGTGGAACGCCGGAGTTGATGCCAATGGTATCAGACGATACACCGTCCACCACCACGTGAAGCGATCTGCCTGAAAGAAAACTCGATATGAGATGGCATAGCTGTGGTGGTAAGCCGTATGATGATAGTTTGTGGAGGAGTCCTTCGTGCCAAACACGGCCGAATGCTTTCGATATGTCAAACGCGACAGCTAGAGATTCCCCGTGTTTTTCTAATGAAGCTTGCCATAAATGGGTGACGTAGGTAAGTAGATCTCCAGTAGATATTCGGTGACGAAAGCCGTATTGTCCATCATTGATGATTCCTGAGTTCTCCAGATATTTGGTAAGCTCAATATTGATGGCTTTCTCCATCACTTTGGAGATTACTGATAACAAGGCAAAGGGCCTGTAGTTGTTGGGCAGGTTTTTGTTCCCTTTTTTGGGGATTGGTTGGACTCTAGCTGTCTTTCAGCTTGATGGAAAAATACCCGACCTGTACGAGACGGTATTTATAAACAACTTGCAGAGAATCAGTGTTAATTCTGGTGCACATTTTTTCAGGATGATGGGTGGAATTCCATCAGGACCGTTAGCCTTATTCGTTTTGAGATCAAGCAAAATTTTCCTGATATTGCGTTGACGGAAGACGATTTCGGGCATTCGACTCTCAACGGGTGGAATGACTGGCGGCACTTCAATACTCAACCCCTCAAATTTCGTTTTTGTATGCTTAATAATAAAACAAATTATAGTGGTGAACAACCTTTTACGGTATGTTTATGAAATAGAAAAAAATTGATGTCGAATGGAGGAAATTGTACCTACAATACTTGTTTCACCAGACATTGTGTTCACAAAGTGACCCTAGACAACTTTTGAATGGTTGGATTTTTTAAAATTCTATCGCTCCAAAATGTATCACTTGAACTACAATCAGAACAAAACAAGAATAAAAAACATTCCTAGCCGTAGGCAATATAATCTAATGAAAAATTGGTATAATACACTCCCCGACAATAAATGCCGAACAGTGAAATTTTGTGCAAATTTGTTTGCCCTGTAACTTTCGTAATCCTCTTCCGATTTCTATGGAACTTCGACCTCAGTGTAGAATTATGTTTCGCAAAATCAGCCTGACATTTTGTTCCGAAAAACATCTATTGTCCTAATCATTATACAGGGAAAAACAAAAAAACTTTTTTACCCTCAACTTCTCAACGACCTGTGGCTAAAGTGAGCAATTAAAATCAGTTTCATTATATTTAGTATTGAAGTGTGATTCGTTCTTAACGAAATGGTTCACAAATCACGTTGATATCATTTCTTGAAGAGAAAATGCAAGTGTTTCAAGAAAATATGGCATTTTCTATATTCATCAACAATTATTCAGAAGTGTTGAAAAGGAATATTCTCAGATGAATTATGAACATACAAAAAAGGATATATATTTATATAAAGTAATACATTGAGAATTCGCATTCTCTATGTGATGAGAATATTTACTCTTTTTTTCAGGCAATTCAATAGAAAACAACTACTTTCCTGGCTATATGCCACGACGAACATTGAATTATATCTATTGAACACACACGATAAGAGTTTGAAAATAAAATATAAGAATTTCTGAAAATTGAGAATTTGCATTCTCCTTCAGACAAAAAAAATGTATATACACACATCATTCTGAATATTCAACAGAAAACAACTACTTTCCTGGCTATTTGCCACGTCGAACATTGAATTATATCTGATGAACATTCAAAAGGGAACATGAAAAATAAAGAATAAAATCCTCCGAAATTGAGAATTGACATTCTTCTTCAAATCGGTTGAATAATATGATGAATAATGATATAGAAATATGACTTACCAATATTCATCATATTATTCAACCGATTTGAAGAAGAATGTCAATTCTCAATTTCGGAGGATTTAATTCTTTATTTTTCATGTTCCCTTTATGTTCATCATTCATCTGAGAATATTCCTTTTCAACACTTTTATACCCAATCAGGGGGTTCAAACTTGAACGATGGAAACTTGTGATTTTTATAGACCTCTAATCGCAGATTCGTGATAGAGTCTCAATTCAGAATTCATTTCCACGCCCTGTATGATGAATGTCAATTTATCATTGTAACGGAATGTTTCACGATCCGTCACTTTTACCGTGATTACCCATTCTGCCCCATTGATTGCTACGCCCATGATCACCTTGCTCGGAGAGTCGCTGTGCTCTGTTGGCGAAATTTGTGACCATACGTGTATGTGTCTAGCTTCAACTAGTGCAATGAAAGAGTTTATCTCTCTCTTTTCGAAAAATCGGGAGTGCGATACGGAATTAGGACCGGTTCTCAAAAGCTCTCTTGCGACTGGACTACAAGCGAGAAAACATCGTGGTCACCTCTGGTGAAAATCTTATCTGAAGGCAAATGGAAAGGTGAGGTTTTTCACATTATCTGGCTTTAACTTTGTTATCTCTGAGTATCATCATCTTGCCTGCTTTCTTCCTTTAATTGCTATTATAATTATTTAATTCCAGGAAATTATATATAGGTAAATAGAAATTACCTAGAACGTGGTTGAGCCCACGCCATTTTGTGTGGTTTTTTTTTTAGAGGAAGCCGTACACTTTCTTTCGTCTCGATCTCCCGGAATTTATCTTATCTCATCTTCTCAATCATTGTAGTAAATGAATTGAATTTATCTTCCAGAAATTTGCCATGCAAATATGCAAATTTCGTATCTACGATTTTATTCCTCTTCACACAAGTGAAGAAGTTTAAAAAGAAAATTGTCAAAGCACATTTCCTGCCTAGTTTTTTTGTAGGTTGACCTGGAGACTGATTGGAATTTATTCGGAAGTGGTCCCAGAATATTATTGAGAGGAAACTGAATTTGAGATATTTTGGAACACATTCTGGAAACGTACCCAGTTAGCCATTATCTACATCTGGAACGTGATTGATCAAGGACAAGGATAGAAGGAATCATTGGTGGCCGAGACCTTCGAGGAATCTGAGTTCAGGTGAGTGATGCATTTATTTCTTTACAGAAAATAATTTGCAAGTGCATAATCTCACCTGTACTTTATTTCTCACTCGAAATTTTGGTTACCAGAGTGTTTCCTTCTCTCCTCTTGTAATATCACTCGTTGAGCATGTGCAAAGCATTTCTTTTGTATTAACTTTTCACTTATTTTTCTTATCTGGCAGAAAGCAGACAAACTGACGAATAATCAGCAGTAAATATCTTTTTTCCTCAGTTTAAATTACCTATTGACACGAAGGCCACCTTTCCATTATCTTCCATTTGCTTTCAGAGAGGGTACTGATGTGTTTTCTGGCTCTAGTCATGCAATGAGACTTACTGTTTTTTTTTGGAGATTTTGGACTTTCTCAGATAGTTTCAGAATAAACATTATCTTTTAAATTTCAGCATTACATGGTTGATCATTAGTAAAAGATTTCACCAGAAGTAGTCAGAGTGACTATTCTAAGTACTTTTCTAAAGATTTGAAAATTCATACATGCTGTTGCACCAAAGTCAGAGTCCATATTTCGAATTTGCGTATCTCAGTTATACATACAGTATTATTAAAAAGAAAATAATATTTTTTGTTGTTGTCATAACTGGATTAATCCACTTTATTCTCAAATTGATTTTCACATTGTTGAAGGCAATTGTTGTATAACATATATATATATATATTTTTTTGACATATGGATTGAAGATCGAGAGAGATTCACGATCATTCTTCCTTTTCGATTATCTTCAAAGCAGAAGCAGATAAAACTACTCATTTTGAGTATTTATCTTGTTAATCATTGATTAAAGTATTGAATGAATTTGTACCTACTCTGAACCAGATGGTTCTGATTGTATTTCTTCCTTACTCTGTAGTAGTGCACATACTGCTGTAGATATTGTCTGTACAGGAATTTCAAGAATACTCCATTCCGGAATGAAGCAAAGTTGGAGACTGAAATTGTCCATGAGCCATATCACAAGCTGAAGCACTCACCTTAGCTGAAGCCCGACTCAGAAATGTCAGGAGGCCATTAAAGCTACAACTACAGATCCTGAACATCGAGAAATCGTCAGCAGATCAAAGGTGGGCCAATACATACCTGAGGGCTGGGACAGAGTAAGTCTCACTTTGAGGAGGTCATATCAATAAGGCAGCTAGTTCCAGACAGAAGAAAACTGCATACCAAAAAGAGTAAAATTTTTCTGTGAGACAAATTCATTAATATTCCTTAATCAATAATATTGAATAGTAGTTGATCGTCGTAATTCATTTTTTTTTAAATCCAGAAATATAATTTGAATCATTTTGATTAAGTGGAATGATAGTCAATTGTAAATGACAATTTCTTGTTGTATAGATATCAATCATGGATAGTGGTTGATCATCATAATTTTTTTATCCAGTAATATAATCTGAATCATTTTGATTAAGTGGAATAATAGTCAATTGTAAATAATAACTTCTTGTTGTACAGAAATCGATCATTCAAGTTTTTTTGTAAATATAATGTTAGTATGAATCTGACTTATTTATTCTATTAGAGAACATTCATACCGTCTGAGGTGAGAATTTCTGTTTCCCAAGTGATTTTCTTCTTAAAGACTTCTTTTTCTTTTTTTGGCATCTTTTTTTTTTAAAAAAAGGTCCTGGCGCCCACAAAAATTTAATGTATCTTGACCTATCTCAATATAACTTAACTAACATAATTATCTTATCTTAAATAGTAACCTTGTAATTAACTTATCTCATCCAAGAGGTATTAGCGCAATTTTCTGATAAATTGGCCAATAAAGGAAATTCTCACACCAGACGAAGATCCTTACCCCGACCCTCCCGTATCAATTCTGAGCAGCCCAAAGGCAAGAGCAATAAAAGCTACACAAACCCCTTTTAATATTTTCGAATATAAAAAGGGAGTTACACAACTGGCGCCCAAAAGCAATTATTCAGAACTTACAAAAACATTAACAACTTGAAATGAAAATCAAACAACTATAAATCAATATCGCGTATTGCCACCGAGTTATCTTAGTACTTCCTCTATGCGACCAGGCATACTCTCAATGCAGTTGTCGATGGCCTCTTGCGGAATATTTTCCCATTCTTATAGGAGGGCTGTCCGCGAATCCGGTAATGTTTCTGGGTGGCGATTGCGAACACGTCTACCCAACATGGCCCAAACGTGCTCAATAGCAGTCAGGTCGGGACTACGCGGGGGCCACTCTAATCGCCGAATATTTACCTCGTCCAAGTATTCTGTCACGATTCGCGCAACATGAGGCCTGGCAATATCTTGCATTAAAATAAAGTTTTGCCCAACAAAGCCGGCAAAGGGTACCACATGTTCAGCTAAACATTGTCGGATGTAACGAATAGCAGTTAAAGAACCATTTTCTATGAGCACCAGGTTCGTACGAGCATTTAATGATACTCCTCAACATACCATTCATTCATACGATTCATCCGTGAATAACACATTCGCCCAGTCTTGGGTTCTCCAATAGCTATGTTCACGAGCAAAATTAAAATGTCCTGTGCGATATGCAGGCCCAACTAGCATTTATAGTCGCGATTACGTAATTACGACTATTGGGTCGACTATTAAGTAATATTTACTAGTTGCGGTTACGTTATAATTACGTCGTTACTACGTATTTACTACCAAAATGGGGAACAAATCACGAGTCATTATTACGGTTTGCCGACGTAGCGGGAACTCACACAATTACGTAATGCTAACGACCCGTCGACGTCGAAATTACGTAAAGATGTAGTAAATTTGCCTACCTGACTTTCTATTTCTTTTCCACTTCATAAAAATATTATTTTCTCTCTTTATTATTCTTCATTTCATCCATGAAGTTCACATTCACGAAAAATGAACAAGTCCAATATGCCTAACCATTCAATAAATAATACAAGGACAAACACGCGAAATAATTGATACTCGAACTTGAAAAATTCGAACAACATTCAGTTTTTCGATAAATGTGATGATTTTGCCTCGAAATTCAAGATGCGCCCACAAAATACGGCTCATTTCACCAAAAATATGGTTTTATTTCATTCGGCTATTTTTCAAAAATCATCGTAAATCATGTTAATTTCCATTATTATGCAATTTGTGATCGAACGAATGCTATTATTCTTCATAAAATGATGTTTATCAACAAGAAAAACCAAAATTATTTCCTGTTCAAATGGTTATCACATCAATCAATATGGCTTCCAATTAGTGATTCACACGAGACCAACGAGACGAGACTTTCATAAAGTCTCGTCTCGTCTCGCCGATGAAATATGAAGTCTTGTCTCGAGTCTCGTCTCGCAGCCCCGAGTCTCGTCTTGTCTCGCGTCTCGTACGAGAGTCTCGCAAAAGTATCGCAATTTCGTCATGCATAATGTCTAGTACGGGATATTTACCTTTGCCTACTTTCTAGGTATAATGTAGAAGTAGAAAGAGAAAATTACAACAAAAATAACATTGTTTATGGAAAAGTAAGTATCTAATAGGTACATACTTACATCATACATCTAAACAAGAAAAAAAATATAGCATTGAATATTCGAAAGTTATAAAAATGAAATAAAAAGTAACACGTATATATTCTCAACAAATAAACAAAACGAAAACTTTAATCCAACATTATTTTAATTATATGAGAAATAGGTATTTAAGAAAATAGTTATTTGTTTCACAGAAAAGTAGTCAATCTACATTTTCTGCCATGTGAAAACTCCATCATTTTGTATTCACCATAGTCAGCGTCAATTTTGATTACAAATTTCATTAGAATTTCTTGGAACGTTGCATAGCAACAAACTTTTTCTGCCTAGGCAGTAAAAGTACACCTTTTCTGCCTGTTAAGCGGCAGGAAAAAGCCACTATTCCTGCCGCTTGGAGAAAAAAACCTTTATCAGTCAGATCAGCCTTCACAATCGCAAATGTTTTTGTTATTCACCCAGTCGTCAAGACATAACAAACATCGTGCAGATTCATTATTAAGGCGATTCCGATGTTTTCTTATAGAATTCTTCCTGAATATGTTTTATTATGAATGAAATTCTCAAGTCTGCAGTCGGCACGCAGAAATATTTACCTGCGAGACTCTCGCACGAGACACGAGAAGTCTTGCACGAGACTCGAGACGAGACCAATGAAAGTCTCGTCTCGCCTTGTCCGAGTCTCGTCTCGAGTCTTGTCTCGAAAACGAGACGAGACCATGCGAGACTCTCGAAAACGAGACTCTCGCGGGCACCACTACTTCCAATCGAAAATGAATCAGAAAGTTACTTTTGGAACTCGTCAGTTATGATAACCTATGTATTGGTAACTTCAACTGAATATAATTACCGAAAAGTTGTTTCAACTATGAAGGAATTGTTTGAGTAGGAATTACCAATATGTTACTTGAAATATCACCAAGAATTGACTAAATTATTAGGTGATCGATCAAGTAACGACAACGTCGTAGAAACCTAATTGGTGACCATAGAGTAATTGCAACTGTGAAGCCTTCTTGGGGTGGTAAGCGTTACCGTAATAATATATCCAAAGTTCCGAAACCTTAAGAGTAGTTTTGAGGAGTGACAGTTTCGAAATAGTTACTTCGTAATAAGCCATGAGAATTTCTCACTTTGAAGTTATTATCTAGTGTAAAAACTACGTAATTTTCACTCACTAAATAACTATCACTGACATTTATACTATGAAGTTCTGAAATAAGTGATAAATACGTTATTATCACTAAATATAGGTAATAGTTTCTTGAACCATGGTGCCTGTGACTGAAAATGCTAGTTGGGGGAAGTATCATATAGGACATGCAGCGGGTCTTCTGGACATTAATCCTCTTTCTCTCAATCTACGCTGAATGGTTCGTGGAGAAACTATTGTACCTCGTACATCTTGTAGATTGAATGCCACGATCTCATAATGCTGTTAGATTGATGAGATGGTTATCACGTTGATTGGTAACACGTGGTCTACCTGATCCCCTACGTCGTATGTACTCACCAGTCTGACGAAACCGACTCATCGCATCTTGTACAGTACGTTTTACTTTGTGCCTAAGTGCCTAACACATACAAAAAAAACAGTTTATTATGGAATGGTAGAATACTGACACTTTGTTAAACAATACTTTTAATGTTACTACGCAACCAAAGACCAGTGTGATGAATGAGTTCACGTAGGTTGTGGAATATTGTTGATAAAAATTTGAAAATGCCATACTTTCTCGAAATCTTTGTATCTTCTCTCGAAAAGAAGATATTGACGTGAATCACAGAACAGATGAATGAACATTATGAAACTGATTTTAATTGCTCACTTTTGCCACAGGGCGTTAAGAAGTTGAGGGTAGAAAAGTTACTTTTGTTTTTCCCTGTATAATGATTAGAAAAATAGATGTTTTTCGGAACAGAATATCAGACTGATTTTGCGAAACATGATTCTACGCTTTGGTCGAAATTTCATAGAAATCGGAAGAGGATTACAAAAGTTACAGGGCGAACAATTTTGCTAAAAATTTCACTGTCCGGAATTTATTGGCGGGTAGTGTAATACAATACTATGGAAATCTTAAATGGTTTGTGAAGTATTTTCAGTTTCATTTGTAGGTTTTGTTTGAAGAGATCACTCGGCAAAAAAATGAGGCATCCAAATTGATGAAAGTGAGAGAGTCCTTGGAGAAAAGAATTCTCGTGATAACTGCTGAAAAAGATGAAATTATAAACGATCGGAATAACTTGAGACAAAGAGTAGCAGTTTTCGAGAAAGAAATAGATGATTACAAAAAGTACATTGACGAAGATAAGAGGAATATGGATGTGCTAGCCAAAGAAAAAGACGTTCTCAACAAATCGTTACAAAGGCAACAGGCCGTTCAAAAAGAACAATCTAAACTCATATACATACAAGAACAATCCAAAAAGAAATTGGAACTGGAGTTGGACACGTTTTTCGTAGAAAGTGGCAAGCAAAAAAAGAAGTTGAGTCAGTTGGAAAGAGAAAGGGATAAACTAGCGGAAGACCAGTTGGAGCTGACTACAACCATTGAAGAAAACATGGAAGATATCAGATTGAAAAAAGCTTTCATCTTCGATTTGAAAAAAACTGCTGCAGAACAGGAAAACAGACTGAGACAACAGCAAAATTTATACGAAGCCATCAGGTCAGATAGGAATTCTTTGCAAAAATCCCTGCAAGAATCCAGTGCCGAGTGTGGGGAACTGAAGAAGAAACTGAAAATTTTGTTTCACCAAATCGAACAACTTAAGGAAGATGTGGCAATGAAAGAAAAGCTACTCATCAAAGATGAGAATGTCATGAGGAAAATCACAAAGGAAAAGGAGAATTTAAAGTAAATTATCATCAGTTTCCTAGTTTTTCAACTTTTCTGATTTTAATTTGGTAATATTTCTAGAGTTGAAGTCATGACTGGACTCGATCAAATTCGTACGTTAAAAGAAGAAGTGAAGGGGCTCAGAGAAGAAGAGAAAAGACTGCATAAAACTATAATGGTATTCACAATTACTGATATTTCAGCTCTTGTTTGTTCATTGTATTCTTTATTCAGGATAATACAAGAACTATCAGGGATCAAGCCAAAAATATCGGACAACTGATGAACGAACGTGACGTGTTAGGTTCGCAATTGGTCAGGAGGAATGATGAAATCGCACTGTTGAATGAAAAAATTGTGATTTTACAATCCACTTTATCTAGAGGTAAATATACCAGGACTGTCTCTATACAGGGTATAATCGAAATAGATATGTATACATATATTGAGCACAGCAATATACACTCCATAGTCCAACAAATATTCCCAAAATGTTCAATCTTTGTCAATTCTTCAAATCAACAAGAAATTTAATGTAAAAAATTTTGAGAACGCTTTTTTTGACAAATGAAATCCTAGTGAATCTGCCAACCATATAAAAATTTGATGACTTGATATTTTGAATTTGTTTAATATTCGAATATTAACCCTAATAGCACTCAACGTCCTAGGGACGTCCCTATTTGGTACAATTCACGTCCGAATGTCCCGAACCAAAAATAAGTGTCATTGGGACGTCCCATCCCGTACATCTCATGCAATGTCCGAGCAAGGATGTCCACGGAATGTCCCAGCTGGTACATCATTTCAAATGTCCTAGGAATAGCATCCCTTAGACGTCCCACGTGGTACATATTGCAGCCCAGACAGCACTGGATATTCATAGAATATTCTCTAAATATGCTAAAAAGGAGGAGTATATTCCGAATATTCATCGATTATTCCTAGAATATATACATGCCTCTGGAACATCTAAAAGGAATATTCCAAAGTGAATAGTCGGACATGTTCAGGGAATATTCAGGTATGAATCTTCCAGGAATATTCCCAACTGAATATTCTCTGTTGTATATTCATGAAATATACCCAACTGAATATTCTGTGGGGTATATTCATGAAATATACCCAACTGAATATTCTGTGCGGTATATTCATGAAATATTCTCAACTGAATATTCTGTGGTGTATATTCATGAAATATTCCATGAATATTCCTATGTTTCTCAACACATAAATACCATTTATTATTTCAGAGATGTGAGTATCGAACAACAATTAGATGTAAGGAGATTTTGAAACAAAAAGTGTTTACGATCCGATTTCGAACAATGCTCTCACAAGAACTTGATATGTATAAAATTATTCAATTCGATTACTGGCCTAGTGGTCAAGGCGTTGCTCTGATAGTCTTGAGGTCACGAGTTCGATCCCTACTTGGGTCACTTTTTTTTTATTTTAGAATATGTTTATTGGAATATTTTAGGAACATTCAATATAGAATATTCTTTTGGGTATATTCTATGATTATCTGAGGAATTCCCATTCGCATATTTAGAGAATATTCCACAGATATTCCGAAATATTCCAGATTATTTCTAGAATATTCCAATATTCCGAAAGGAATATGATAGGGAGATTCATGGAATATCTGGTGCTGTCTGGGAGAATCTCCATGCAAGGACGTCCTTGGCATGTCCCTGATGGAATATGATTTTAAGCGTTCCCTTGTGGGACATCCATCAGATGTCCCGAGTAGTACATATTCTGACATGACTTCAGATCTTATATAATGTCGTTTCTAGACAACCATGAAATGTCCCTGATGGTACATTACTTCAAATATCTCCGCACAGACGCCCTTAATGATTCCAGGATCGTATAAAAATCGAAATGTCCCTTAGGGACATCCTTCGAATGTCCCTTAGGGATATCCGTCGGATGTCTCAATTGGTACATGAACTGTAGTCTTCCAATGTCCTAGAAATAACGTCCAATGGACGTCCCAGTCGGTACTTTCAATATGTTGTCCCTGCGAGGACGTTAACTTACACCTCGCCGACGAATGATTGCTCGTTGGCTATAAGTACTCCTCGTCAATGTCCTTCACGTAAGTCCATTGGACATCCTTGGGAAACTTTTTTGGGGACCTTCTACGGACCATCAACTCTACTGGATGTTCCAATCAGTTATGCAAGATCTTGTCCTAGAGGGACCCAGAAAAGAGAAAAATTCAAAGTCAAGAATAATTCGGACGTCCCTGGGACATCCAATGGACATCCAATTGATATCCCTCAGCGTTGCTGATAGGTTGTCCTATGGATGTCCTAAGAATGTCCTCTGTAGTGCTTGATGAGGAATACTGTACGATTTAGGTATTCGATCCGATAGTTGTCCCAGGGACATCCCTCAAGGACGTCCCTAGTTGGTCCTCAAGTGGGACACTTGTGCGTCCCACAGACGTCCAATGAACGTCCACGGTACCAAATTCGTCCTATGGACGTCCTGAATGTCCCGATAGGAGGTTCCTAGGATATTCATGGGACATGAGTGTGTTATTAGGGAAGTTGAAGTATTATTTCCTTCTGATGGACAATTGAGTGTTCAATGTTGGAGTGTGAAAATAAAGGAAAGACTTCTGTTCCTCAAGTTTTTACTCCACTTTTGGCCATTCTAGTATATGTGTCTAGTATTCCTGGTGAGCTTTTTTGAGCTTGTGAGGGATAAAATGCTTGTGGAGTCGATTTTGAAATTATTCCATAATCTATTCTAATGCCGGTTATCTGGTGGTTCGTTCCAAATCATTGTTGTGGGGACTGGCAATTGCTTTTTAGTAGTTAGTAGAATGATTTTAATGTTTGACAGTTTATCAATATTCATCTTGCTATTCATTTTTTCAAGGTTCGTGGCCAAGTAATAAGGTTTCTGGTTCGTGAAAATTAATATTCTTCCTTCTTGTCCAATATACAAGAAATATTCTCAGAATATTCAAAACAGTCCATTCCTAATGTTCATAGAACCTCCTAGAATATTTGTATCACATTGTGAGAATTTCTGAGATTATTCAAATATTCTATAGGAATATCCTATGGACGTTCTAGGAATGACATTGTGCTATCTGGGTACCTGAACGACTGAAAAGAATGTATGAATGTACCATCTACATATTTCGATAGGTGAAACACACTATGATCAGAGGTTAGTCGATATAAGACTGCTGAAATTGGAGGTAAAAAGACTGAGACAAGAAAAAAACCTGATGTCGAAAACGATGGCGAACATGGTGGATCTTCGTCAAGAAATCTTCCACTTGGAGCGAGACCTGACGAAAAGCAGACTGAAGTGCAAAGCTCTGGAGCAAGAAGTTCAGAATCCCCTGAACATCCATCGCTGGAGAAAACTGGAAGGTTCAGATCCTGAGGTGCTAGATATGCTCCAGAAAATTCAGATTCTCCAGAAGTGAGTCAAAACTTCAAATATATTTGTGTTGTGACAATATTATCACCCTCTTAGATAGGAGACCTAAGTATACCTCGTTGAGAGGAATTCCTTTCACAAAATAGAGGAAGGAATCTTGAAACGAACGGTGTTATTCTGAATATACCGGGTGACACAGGAGACATGTAACAGCCTGTAGTTTTTTATTTGAAGAGATACAAATTTGAAATTCACAACATTCAATGACAATTTTCTTTAACCACCTGTTCGATCGGAAGTAGACCCAACTTTTTTTTTTCAAATGGCACCCTGTATATTTCTGTAGCCTATCTTATTTGCCTTGAAATTCTCTATTTAACTATGCATCGATTGGCTGTTAATTTGCATTTTATTGAAATACACTCAGTTCCCAATAAAAGTGACGCACTTGATATTTGACCTATCTTCTTAAAAAAAAAACGTAGGTAATGCATTTGTCTTTAAGAAAAATAAAGAGGTGAAAATTTTTTCAAAGCCTCCTTGATGGTGTGTTAATTGAGTAATGGTATACAAATAAGTGCTTACACCCCATACGAAAGAGGCTTCTTTTGCGAGCATTTTTTTTTATTCATTGATTTATCTCTAAAATTTTCCGAATTACAGCTTTTTTGCTGATACCTTACGCTTATCCCACAAATTAAATTTATTGAAGGATCAGAGTACTCAAAATTGATTGGGTTGTACTCTCTGGTAGGATCACATTGTCTTCAAAAAAACAAATGCCGTTGCCATAGCACTAACTAATTTGTTGAATGCCTCCATATTTGACCATTTGTCGTTGTGTCATTAATTAAGTGTCTTGTTTTATTGACTAAAATTACATAAAATGCCTCAAATAAATCCTGAACAAGTTGCAAGATTAGTTGCGTTAGTAAACGATGGGCGTAGTAAACGTTACGCCGCTCGTGCAGTGGGAGTTCATGAAGCAACTGCTCGTAGAGCAATCCGCAAGTACGAACGAACAGGAAGCACCGCTCGAAGGGTCGGTTCTGGTCGCCCCCGAAAAACTTCTCCAAGAGATGATCGCTTCTTGAGATTGCGAATTTTACGGAATCGATCAAATACTGCGGTAAATGTTCAGCAAGATCTTCGCCAAATTCGTGATGTTGCAGTAAGTAAGCAGACGGTATGTAGACGTCTAAAAGAAGTTAATTTAAAAGCTAGGAGAACTGCAAAAGCTCCCAAATAATTGCCCGAACATCGTGCTGCTAGAAGAAATTTTGTTGAAAATTATGGACAGTGGAATATTCCTGAATGGTCGTCTTGTTTACGGATGAGTCAAAGTTTTGCCTTAACATGGTGGATGGAAGAAAAAGAGTGTGGAGAAGAACCGGTGAACGGTTTGATTCAAATTTAATGATGCAGGATAATGCCCGACCACACACCGCAGCAATAGTGCGAAACTTCTTAGAAGCTACTGGTATTACCACATTACCTGCCTGCGAGAAGCCCCGATATGAATCCTATAGAACATTTGTGGGATGAAGTAGGGAGAAGGGTACGTTCTCGCGAGAGGTCTCCGGAAAGTCTCGCAAATATGGCAGATGCATTAGTGGAAGAATGAGATCGTATATCCCAATTTATAATTTTGTGTTTAATGAAAATGTTTTTCAAAATTATTGGTATTTATTTCATCAGAAAATTGTTTCTCGATAAATTTAGAAAGTTGGTAATCTGCAAGGATTCAGCAAAAAAAGCTGTAATTCGGAAAATTGTAGAGATAAATCAATAAATAAAAAAACGAAATGCTCGCAAAAGAAGCCTCTTTCGTATAGGGTAAAAGCACTTTCTATGTCATTACTTAATTAACACACAGGGTGAGTCAAAAATCAAGAATAAATCATGGTTCGAGTTATTCCACCACCATCAAGGAGGCTTTGAAAAAAAATTTTCCGCTCCATTTTTTTTAAAGACAAATGCATTACCTACCAACAAATAAAAAAAAGAATAAAAATCGGCCTACTATTTTTTTTTTAAGAAGATAGGTCAAATATCAAGTGCGTCACTTTTTTTGGAACTGAGTGTAGATGAAGTTATTGGCTGTGGCCCGAACGCAATGACATGTCAATGCTTGATAGGCTCAGAAATCCAAAGATCATTACTTAGACGATATTATCAGAATATTTTCCATACCCTAATCGGTCCCAGAAGATTGCCAATAATTTCATAGACTTTGAAAAAATCATCCGGAAAAAACTCACGATATTGAGAAAACTAAGATAGAAACTCAGTTTTTTTCATTTGGCTACATGTGAAGGAACTATTTGTCTTTCATTTTTGCCATGTAGCCATAATTATGATCATCCATTTGGATACATGAAACTGAAAAATGTTGTAATAATTGAAGGATCGTCCTAATATCGAGTTATTTTCGGATGATTTTTTTAAACTCAATGAAATGATTGGCAATCTTCTGGGACCGATTGAGGTAAGGAAAATATCCTGATAATATCGTCCAAGTGATGATCTTTGGATTTCTAATCTAATCAAGCATCGAAATGACATTATATATTCGGGTCACATCAGCCAACTTCATGTATTTCAATAAAATGCAATTAACAGCCAATTAATGAACGAATATAAAATTGTGATATATTGTTGAATAGAGAATTTTAAGGCGCATAAGATAGACTACAGAAATATACAGGGTGCCTTTGGAAAAAAAATTGGGTCTACTTCCAATTGAACAGGTGGTTGAAAAAAATTGTCATTGGGTTCAAGGAAAGTGAATTTCAAATTTGTATCTCTCCAAATAAAAAAACTACAGGCTGTTACATGTCTCCTGTTTCACCCGGTATACTACACAGTATATTCAGTTGGGAATATTCCTGGCACATTCATACCTGAATATTCCGCGAACAATATAACTAGAATATTCACTTCTGAATATTATTCCTGCTGGAATATTCCTGGTATACAGGGTGTCCCGAAATTACTTCGCGCATCGTGTTACTTCGCGCCCTGCTTCGCACATAGTCTCGTGGTAACTTAGAAGAATGAAAAAAAAGTGTCACTTTGCAATTTGCTATCAATGCGCAAACCTTGTCATTTTTTGACGTTTGTAGAAAAAATATTTTTGACAATGCGGAGTTGCCGCTTCTACTAGAAAGTAGTAGCAACATTGATATTTCGAATCAAACACCCTATATTTCATCGCATTTTCAGATTATCCCTGAAGATCCGATTTTATCGATATATCACACTTGGGGTCTATCGGGAATGATTACAGAGATATAGGGTGTTCAAAATCAAGATTTTTCAACTTAAGGAATTGTTTGTTTCGAAACTATTCATTATCGGTCAAAACGGCTCACATGTCCCTATCTCAACTTCTGATTTACTATTTACTGATATTTAATCGGGACAGATACAGGGTAATCAGAATATTCAATATCTCTCGATAGACCCAAGTGTGATATATCTATAAAATTAGCTCATCAGGGAAGAATGGGAAGATCTAAAAATGCGATAATATACAGGGTGTTCCACTTGGAATATCAATGTTGTTACTACTTTCTAGTAGAAGCGACAACTCTGCATTATCAAAAATAATTTAAATTATTCCCGATATAAGGATAGTGCAAGCTCTTCGTGACATACCCTGGTATATAGCGTAGACGCCTATAACGTTGATATTTCTACTAATAAATTGAATGAGGATTATGCAGCTGAATACTAAAATGCGATTATCTCGAGAACTGTTAAGTCATATGAGATTAAAAACAAGTCTTATATTGCCTCAATGATGAGTCTTCGATATTCCTTGATGAAAAATGGCGCTGATCTTAGTCACAGACATGTTAAAAGTGCGCATTTATGCCACAAAAGCAGCAAATATATATAAGTGTGTACCAAAGTATTGTCACGAGTAGAATATACGGTATATTAGTAATTTCGAACCATGAGGGTTTTATAAACATAAAGTAAATCAAATTATCCGTTGACATTGAATAATAAAAACTGACCAAGGAACTCTCAGGAGAAACGTGCATATCTAATAAAATGATGTATATAAATATGGGATGTGAGGGTTCCGAAGTTAGTCTGGTTTGGGGCTACTCTTGACTTGACAAGAACTCGTCGTGATGGTCGTTATGATGTAAGTTGCGTTATTAGGTCTTCATATTCAATGTTGTTTATTCATATTTATAATCATTTCACCCATAATATTTCATGCTTCATTAAATATTGTTATGTTTGAATATAGTTTCGTACTTTCAGTTACCCCTAAACTATTAGTGCCTATTTGAATATTACCTCTCGCAAACCCATTATAAATCGATATGGATGGCTTAACCATCTTTTTATCGTAACTTGGTGGTGACAACCATTCTATCGTGACATGGTCTAACCACCTATACTATATCGTTACATGGTGGAAACACAACTCTTTTGTTGTGACAGTATGATTCCTCATACTCAAAAACCCATATAGTTTCGGAATTTGTATGCATCCATACATATTTAAGAACGTTATCACCAAAAATAAATTTTAAAATTTCAACTCTCGCTCAACTCATTACGTTTTGAATTCAAAACCATGTATACATTATACCGATATTAACCCAGTTATCTTAGAACACCATGTATATTTATGCAGCCTATTAGTGTCTGACTGGAGTATGATCAATCTTGCGGAAATGATCACGTTTTTCCAAATGCGAATGAGCGAATGCCGAATGGAAATCAAAAATCCTGGTTAACCTCTGTTATTCTTTGTTTCAATTTATTTACCTACTTATGTTGATATAACGATGATCGTTCAGAAGGAGAACTACTTTCGAAGCCAATGAGTGCCGATGACTACAAAAAATTGAACATAAACGTGCGTTTTATCGGATCCAAATTTTATAATAAATCACCATCAAAATTAGAACGCCATAACGTTCAAAAAAGAAGTTAAAAGTTAGCTCAAAGAAAATGCGAAAAAAATCGATGATCTTTTTTGATCAACAACTATTTTTCTTTATTTCAATTTATTATTATTATTGATTATTGTATGAATTGATTATTTGTTTTCAGTTTAAGAATTTATATTATGGGAAAAGGATGTAATACGTGAAATATACTTCATCTCTTTCACACACAGGTCACTAACCTATGTGAAGGAGATATGCAATATGAAATTGTAATTGATATTCGATTCAATAAATGAATAAATAAATCAATAAATAATTAAATGTCTACGGAGCAGCCATCTCAAAAAGATGAATGAGATAAATCAATAGTGGGGGACTATTCGGCTCAATTCTGAGTAGGTACTAACTCCAAATCATTTTTTTCCTTCACTACAAAATATAAGAATAATCTTCCTCAACGCTTGGTTTAGGAATTTTTGCCTGAACGTCAGGGGGGAAGGTGGTCTCAACCCTTCTACAATTTTTTTTGGGTTCTTTGATTACCGTGAGCGAGGTAATCCTCTAAAATACCTATTTATCCAATGTCATTCAATTTGTTTCACTCATTTTAGTAGTAGCTCTATGTCCAGCAATTTTGGATATCACTACTTCAAAGTTGGGAACCAACTCCCCAGAAGTCGAAACTTGTGCGGGGTTAGGAAGAGCGGGACCTAGAGCTTATAGTGGAATCCGAACTACTTCTAGGGCATTGAGGTGCTGCTAGGATTACAACCATGAATCCCACATTTTGAAGAAAAATGCTCAGCCGATAGCCGGATTCGGTTTCGAACCGACAGTACCTCTCCAAATCGTGAACGGCTATCTAGCGAATTTCAGCGCATAGACAAACTCGGCCACGGCGCCCCATAGCTCATAATATAAATGTGGGGACACACTGTATATCATGTCGTCGTATATACCAACCTATTTTCGATTCCAAAACAAAAAATCATAGATAGATTTGAAATGTTCTCAATATATAATAACTTTTGGAGATTCAAAACCGGACATGCAATGAATATTCGATACGAAATGATTTTGATCCAGAATAAATAATCATAAAATATCCATAGAACAACGCGTTCTAATATTCTGAATCGAATGATCTGTGGATATAGGAAACTGAACCTGCGATGAATATTCGAAATGGAATAATATATAAATATCTATAGATATTCTGGATATATTCAGGACATCTATATAATATCTGGATATATATCTTCCAAATCGTACACTGACAAAACATTCCATGAATATCTGGTGCTATCTGGGTATGGCATCAGATACCAATTGTTGGAAATCGAGAGGTAATTACAACAATAATTCTCATAGAACTCTCTCACGAATAACTAAAAACTGACCAATTGAGTAACAATTAGAATGTTGATAATTTTACCATCAGGGAAAGACCTATGGTTTTACTAACGTGTACTTCATTTGAATGTTCATAGAGAAACTTGGCATATACCTCCTAGGTAAGTAACACACAGAATTCCCATTGAGACTTTACTGAGCATTCGAAATTACAACAAGAAATCCTATAACAGTCTTTGGTAAGTAAGTCCCAAAAAGAAGTAACAATAAGTATATAAATGGTTCGTCCTAGCGACTTCTGTGACTTCGCTGGTTTGCTGGGATGTTATTGTCTCTGACGAACGCTTTTCAATACATACGCCTCTGGCGAGACAGGACATTGCATATGCACGGACAACCTTATGTAACATCCCTCGCACCTCGAATCGCACAAAATTACGAACACCTAGCCTATCGCCGCATATAAATCACCCTGCTGTATGCTCGGTAGGCGGCTGTAGTCCCAAAGCTCGGTGGCGGTACAGTTCAAGCGGTAGCTGACTGCTGTAGGAGGCCGAGCAGCTGTACCTGATAAACAAGTATTGTTTCTCTTGGGAATAATAAAGTTGATTGATTGCTAAATTCACCAAGTTGGCAACACCGATACCACCACCCAGCACCGTATACAGTCTGTCCAAGATAAGGTTGAACAGCATGGGGATCTCGAAAACGGTAAGAGATACGAAATCGGTTAAATGGGGAAAAAGTTGCGCATTCAGAGGCTCATATCAAGAGCCTTCGAAAATTTTGAAAATTATTTTTAGTTTTTGAGTTATATCGAAAAAAGTGAATTTTTGGAATTTCTATTTTATTTTTTTTCTCCGTTATTATTAGAGATACAGCAAAACTGAGAATACTTTTTCATAGCAACTTTTGATGACGGTCAACGTGGTGATACCGATTTTTTCATGCGACGTTTCGCATTCGTGGACCATCATCAACTTTTGTTTTTTAAATACGGTCCTGATAATTTTTTCACAGATTCTAAAAGGTTTTTTTATTCTGAATTCAACCATGTATTATACAAGGTGGTTCATTTGTGTTTCGACCTATTTTTGGCCATCATCAATGTTTTTTCGAAACTCCAAAGGAAAAATGCCATCAGTTCCACTTATTTTGAAGGAAAATTAGTCAACACACTAATACCTCATCAACTGGTTTCAATCAACAACCCATTTCATTTTGCGGAAACAAAAATTCCATCCATACAAATTCAGAATATGTCAAGCGCTAAAACCAGGCGATGACGAAAGGCGCAAGACATTCTGTGAGTGGTATACCAGGAAATGTTAAAATTTTGCAGAACAATCATCTGGACTGATGAAAGCATGGTCACCAATCATGGTAGCTTCGATAGAAAAAATACACATTATTGTTCACGAGAAAATGAACATTTATACATTACAGCGAGACACCAACACCGTTTCGGCTTTAATATGTGGGTTGCAATATTTGGTACACGAATTATTGTTCCTTCTATTTACCATGAAACACAGACTTCCGAACGTTATAGAAATTCGCTTGAGAATCATCTTGAGGAAGCTCTGGATGATTTACCGATTGCGGAAGTTCAGAACTCTGTTGGTTTCAACAAGATGGCGCTCCGGTACATAATTCCAGAGAAGTCCGTGCGTTTTTATCCCTTGGCCGGCGCGGTCGCCTGATTTGACACAGCTGGATTTTTTCTTAGGGGATATATCGAACTTTGTACACGCAAATAACTTTGAGGATGAAGAAGAACTAAGGGACAGTGTCTTCGAAGCATTCAATAGAATAACCCGAGAAATGCTTAGCAATGTCTTAGAAACAACTGTAAGAAGAGGATATCTTTGTTCAGAAAATAATGGTTATCATTTTGAACATTTGTTATGAATGTTTCTGTAGGTATTGTCAAAGTTAAGTTGTTAAAGTAATTCGTGTAAGAATTCATCAACAATTTTAAACGCTGCATTGATCGAATGATGTAGTGAAATATTTTTTATTCACTTTTCAGTATTGAATAACTGATCCATCAAGTTTGACACTAAATGATAAGAAATAAGTGGAACTGATGGCTTTTTTTCTTTTGGAAGTTCGAAAAAACATTGATGATGGATAGAAAGAGGTCGAAACACATTCGAATCACCTTGTATAGTACATTGTTGAATTCAGAATAAAAAAACTTTTCAGAATCTGTAAAAAAATTATCAGGACCGTATTTAAAAAACAAAAGTTGATGATGGTTCCACGAATACGAAACGTCGCATAACAAAATCGGTATCACTACGTTAAACCTCATCAAAAGTTGCAATGAAAAAGTATTTTCAGTTTTTCTGTATCTCTGATAATAACGGAGAAAAAAAATAAAATAGAAATTCCGAAAATTCACTTTTTTCGATATAACTCAAAAACTAAAAATAATTTTCAAAATTTTCGAAGGCTCTTGATATGAGCCTCCGAATGCGCAACTTTTTCCCCATTTAAGCGACTTCGTATCTCCTACCGTTTCCGAGATCCCCATGCTGTTCAACCTTATCTTGGACAGACTGTATATCTCGGCGTATTTTGCTTGGTAGGCGGCTGTTGGCGCAAGGCTCGGAGGCGGTGGAGCGCGAACGGCAGCTGAAGGAGGCCGAAAGGTTGTACCTGAACCTGCGGAAGGTGCTGGCGAAGCAGCCGGGACCCGGCATCCAGCAGGAGCTGTCCAAGACGCAGCGCGCGTTGCGCGTGCGCGGGAACAAGCTGAAGGTGAGTGGGGAGTGGGGATGGGTGAAGTCTTCTGTTAGGATTTAGGAAGGCACTCCGATTCGAAATATCACTAGTCGCGTTTGTTTGTGATTCTCTGGTGTAAGAATTGTGTGTAGGAACGAATAAAACGGCAAAGAATGAAGAATTACATTGATTTGATGACAACCATGTGAAAATAAATCAAAATGACATAATAATCATCAATAAAAAACATCAAAGTGTAGATTAGATCATTTTTTTGATCTCTGGATTGGATTCATGGAATGATGATACATATTGAATAATGGTTTTGGTATATTCGTGCGGGCTTAGGGGTAGGTACGTGGGAATTTATACCTATGACTAATCAACAATCATTCCCTAGACATTGGTGTTATTCAATATTATCGAATCTGATAGTACCTATATATTGATGGAGAATATTCTAGTGAATCATGCAGTAAGCATATCATATTATGGAAATGGAAAGTGCATTGAAACTCATATTTGTTGTACCTACCTAGCGACATTCTTCATGAAATTATGGATTCATAAGAGGAAGAAATTGAATTCAGGATGATGAATGTTTCATACTGACCTTTTTCAGAATATGTAATGAAGAAGTCCAGAAAATATAAAATTCTCATGAGATTGTATTACCAAGATTCAATACAAAGACCTTTCAGAGCCATTTCAGATTTACTCTTGAATATTTCCATGAGTTATATGCACATTATTTTCCTCTTTTGTTGGCTCATTTCTGCTTGGAATAGAAGGTTCACCCTCACTATTCCAAGCAGGGAACAATGGGAAGAGAACTGAGTGGAATTCCGCCCAGGGAGTCTAGTATGTTATACGGGCGGATCGCGCCTAACTGACAAACAGGACTCAGGTGCAGGAATTCACCTAGAAGGAATAGGCATAAGGGAGATCTACGCTCTTGGAAAGTATACCACAGTTTTCCAGGCTGAGGTCTTGGCCATTTTGGCAGTAGCGGAGATGCAAGAGGTGAAAGAGGGAGCAGAGCAGAACATTTACATCTGCTCGGATAGTCAGGCGGCTCTCAGAGCTATCTGCCACCCTAAACCGAGCTCAGCTTTGATACAAAAATGTGGTTATGCTCTTGGAAAACTAGCTGAACATAAGGAAGTCGAACTAGTATGGGTTCCGGGTCACAGGGGGGTGCCCGGGAACGAGGTGGCCGACGAGCTGGCTAGAATCGGATCCGCGACACCGTTCTGGGGACCGGAGCCTGCACTGGGCATAACAAGAAGCCAAACTTGGTCTGCCCTTAACAAATGGGCGGACGAGGCACTAGAAGGATATTGGAGGCGTATATAGGAGGCTGCAGGCAATCGAGAGACCTGGTGGCCGGTCCAAGCAAGCTAAAAACGGCTTGGTTACTGGGCAGGTCTCGCCTAAGTCCTTATAGGAGTACTGACAGGGCATAACAGGTTACGCAGACACCTATCACTCATAGGTGTGGAAGATAGTCCCACTTGCCGTGAATGCGGAGAAGATGAGGAGACATCACTTCACTTCCTCGGAGAGTGTGAGGCGTATGCAAGGATGAGATTCGAAATCTTTGGAGTAGATAAACTACAACAAAAAAAAAAAAAAGCAGGGGTTGGCAAAAAAGGGTCCATGGGGGCCTACTTGCCTGGCTACAGCCTCACAATACTACTACTACTACTACAAGTTGTTTTTCGACAATATGAATTTGTGGCTGAAACTCATTTTTTTGTCAAAAATTCTTCGTTTTCATAAAAACATTTTCGAAGCATTGTGTTTGTCATGAAAATTGATCGTCAGGCACTGAAATCAGTCACGCATATACCTAGTTTTGAACTAGAACTTTTCTTTCAAGAAGATCAAGTTATTCAGTGCCTCAGGAATGATTGTTATCACAAACTCAATATGTTTAATTTGCAGTCACTTTCATGAGAACATACAATTTGTGCAAAAAGAAATATTTGCCAATTTTCAAAAATGTCCATTTTCAATGAACACCTTATGTAACTCAGAAACGACAACAGATATCTATATGCGGTTTTCACCATTGAGTTTTGCATGAGAATGGTACCTCCTCGGGTACCTCAGACACCGACATTAGTTTTCTTCTATATATCTAGTTGGAGAATAGGATTTTTGCTTTAAAAGTGATCAATATATATTTGGCCCACCCTGTACACTTCGAGATCTGGTTGCATGAAGCTCTCTTTGTTTACCTAACAATAAGGAATCAACTCTTCTAACTCATCCGCTAAGGTATACGTTACTATCTCGGTTGCCATGGATATAAATATAAATAAATATTATTAAATATTTAATCGTCTGTCAAATGCTTTATGCAACCGGCCCTTAGACTCAACGTTTTTCAGGTCGTTGATGTTGCCGAGTTTCGCCGAGGTTACATTAAAAAATGCGCATAAGCATAGTAGAGGCGGTTACCAATAAAAAAATAAGAACCACTCCAGAAATAAAATTGCAATGTATAATGCCTATATATAATATCAAATAATTGCATGTAGGTAGGCACACATCTACTGGAGATCCTACTTTTTGGACCAATCATCATCCTGATGCAAGCTGAAATTATAATAGATGCCTAATTGTAATTTTATCGTTTCAGTGTTTGGTTTCGGAGCTCAACATGACCGAACTGAAATCGGTAGAGTACAAATCAGATTTGCAAAGAGTCACGGAAGAACTGGCCGATTTGAAAAAGAAATATTTGGCGGAAAAGAAAGCGAACCGAACGAAGCGCATAGCCCACGAGTCTAGCCGAGAGGTAAATCACCATAACTTTGGTATGGTAGAACGATTCTAGCTATATGGTGGTCAATTCAAATCTCTATAATGTATATTCCTCGCCTTACCATCAGTATGAAACATTTTCTGTGATTTTCATCGAACCTATACTTAGTATATATTTTATTATTATTTCGAAACAAATAAGGAAGGACATCTATTTTTTCATGCATTATATTAGTACTCTATATAACATTTAAATTCTGAGGTCACTATTCATTGGATGAAAAATGTCACCAACACGTGTATATGATATGAGAAGCTTCAGTGAGAACTGACTCCCTTTTTGAGATACAATAATTACAACAGTTTAAAAATACCCGGACAATGTGAATAGTTATTTGTTATTTGTTTCACAAGGGAGAAAAGCACAAGATTCAATTAATATGCCGCATTGAATTTTCTTTTCTGCCATGTGAAAAATCAAAGTCATTGTCAATTTTGATTAACAATTTATTGATTCAAATTATTACTTGGAAGGTTATATAGATACAGCAGCAAACTTGTTTTGCCTAGGCAGTGAAAGTATATACACCTTTTATGCCTATTAAGGTATGTTTCATGCTTGTACGAATTCCGCAAAATTTATGTGAATCGCAAAATTTTCGACAGAATTTGACGTTCATACTCATGCGACAAAATATTCAGGAGATAAGGGTTCTGTTACTTCTGTTGTGATATTAATTTCTCTATTTCTGGTAACACCATGCATTGATAGAAGAGTTCATGAAATTGAAGGCACGTTACAAGGAAGTAGAAATATTTATTAGGGTCATTCAGTCGGATTTATCGAAAGCGTCTGGCGTCTGTACTATAATCTCCATTCATTTTTCGGCATTTTAAAATGCTTCGAACAGTACAGCTCCTTTTGATGCTTCTGGATACATCATTAGTTCTATATTAGAGACGATACAGCAGATGATACTTTAAAATTAATTCGTCCAGATAATCCATCCTGCGAAGAAAATTCAATCAAATGAAGGAATGATGAAATTTTTAATTATATAATTCTGTACTTACCTGTAGTCTAGTGTCTAGTCTCGTCTTTTTTCGACCTCTGCAGTCCGCTCTCTAATTCCCCAATTTTGATGTTATCAAAATAACAATATATTTTATGTGGTCATGATTCCATCCGAATTCGCAAAAAAGTTCAAATATTTCAACTTCATTGCGATATTCGCAGTCGCCATTTTATTCGCATAAATTTTGCGGAATTCGTACAAGCATGAACAAAGGATGAACATAACTTTGAGTCATTAAAAAGGCACTTTCAATGTCATTTGGAGAAGAAAATGTTCTTCTTCAAGTATGTAAAGTTCATCCAAAATAAATTGAAGCGTCTCGTGCCGCCCCTGCACTCACTAGATCTATGCTTCAAAGGAAGCTTCAACCCGCCGACGCCACGCGGTGCAAGAAATTTGGATACACTTTTAAATTTCATGGGCGTAAACCATATGATTCGCATTTTCAATGATGATTTTTTCATTCTCTTGAATATTTCAAGTTTGTCTAGCACAGGAATTGTTACATACATGATTTCAATTGAACTTTATATTCATAATTAGAATCGTTTATTTTATTGGTCTAAAATTCATCCGTGCCGAAAGTCATGGTCATTTGAATTCTTTCAGGCGAATCACAGTCGCGCAGGGGAAGCCGGCGAAGTTAGATTCACTGGTGGCGGGTTTCGAATGTCCGTGCAACAAATCTAAACAGAAGCCTACCGACAACCGATTTTCATCCATTATAGTATTAGTTTAGTTAGTACACAGCGGCTGTGATCCGGTGAGTAAAACAATTCGACAAATTAAGCACTCGCGTCAACTGCATCACTAATCACAATATTTCAATGTTTATGTTTTGATTGTTTTGTTTTAGATCAAAGATAACTGGATAAATGAAAATGTCAAAGGTATTGGAAGTGTGCGTTGACAGCGTAGATTCGGCGATCGCTGCCATGAGTGGTGGCGCCGACCGTTTAGAGTTGTGCTCCTCTCTCATAGATGGGGGGCTCACGCCAACTGCCGGTTTGCTCATTCAAATTCAAAATTTGAATAGCAGGAATATTCCGGTGTATTGCCTTTTGCGATGTCGCCCTGGTAACTTCGTTTACACTTCCATGGAAGTTGAAGTTATGCAGGAAGATGCCAAAATTTTACGGAAAAATGGAGCAGATGGATTTGTTTTTGGGGCTCTCGCTGAAAACGGCAATGTGGATATGAAAATTTGTAGAGAAATTATGAAAGTGTGTCATCCTCTTCCTGTTACATTCCACAGAGCATTCGATTTCTGCAAAAAACCCACTATAGAAGTTGAAGTCATCATCGATCTGGGATTTCAGAGGATTCTCTCTAGTGGAAAACAAGGTACTGCTCAGATGGGTGTAAAGTTGTTGAAAAAATTGATGGAGCAAGTAGGAAATAGAATCATAATCATGCCTGGGGGTGGCATAAACAAAGATAATCTGAAGTTTATATTGGAAAATACAGATTGCTCAGAAGTTCATGGTTCTTTCAAGTCCATTAAAGAAGAACCTGAAACTGCAAAATCTGAAGAAAGTGATGTAGTACTTGAACAGAGAGAAGGACCTACATATGTTACTAAGGAATCAGCAGTAGCAGAAATAGTTAATATTCTGAAGACTGCATAACTATTTGTACTTGACAACCTTTGAAGGAAACATGTTTTTATTTCATATTGAATGTGCAGAGTTAATTAGATTTTCCTTCATGAAGTTATATCATGAATACTTTGATGCATATTGTTACTTACATATAATGTTATTGATGGAAATATGACAATTACCTGATCGGAAAATATAATATTTTTCTTGTCTCTGATGGGATTTTTGTTCTCCATATTCCAAATTAATACCTACCTATTCTATTGTTCACATAAACCTCTGATAGCAAAGATCACCTTCTGAAATCCAGAGAAACAGAAGGGAAATGATTTCCTGGTACTTTGTTTGATATTTTGTCTCTGGTTCTGGTACTACTAGTAAAAGCAGGATGAACAGATTATCCACCTTGAGTACAATGGTACAAGACTACAAGTTTAAGAAAATCAAATGTAAAATAATGATGGAAATCATACGGTCCTGCCTTGAGACTGTCGTCTGTTTCATTTTGACTTTTGACAAAAGCATCAAGTGCTCTAACCTAAAACCTAACGTCAATCCAATCCTGAAAATCAACAAAAACAATTTATTTCGGCCGTCATATATTGAACATAAAAGTAGTATTAAAACTTAAAAATCCAACCCACCCCAACCATAGAGTTTGGTTCAACTATGGAGACACCTTGGAATCCATCCAGGCAGATGAGTCGTCCTTTTTCAAACATCAGTTTGGATACAGACAAATTCACTCAGAGACTCTCTGGGCTAGGCAAACCAACTAAAAGGGGTATAAAAAAATGTTCCAAATGTGGAATATATAATGGCACTAGAAGTACAGTGTGCAAAAACAAAAGATGTAATGTCATCCTGAAAGATGTACAAGAAAAGTCCAATGTGGACCTAGAAGCAGTCAAGTTATTGACTGGTACTGAGAAACAGGTATTTTCTGTAAAAGTAATGGACATTGGTCCAAATTATCGAGGTTTTGTCCAGCTTCCTGTATTTCACTCTTATCCTGAAGAGGATCCCAATATCCTTTCTGATGTGGCATTGTGCTTTGTCAATTCATGCCAGAATCTATTTGATAACTCAATTTTAAGATGCCATGAAGAAGATCAGAGCAAAGGCAAGCTTCTTTGTAACCACATTAAATCTGCCTTGAGAAGTAGAAGTACTGCAAGATTAATGGAATTGAAAAATGATGTCTTGCATGCTATGCACATTTCTGAAGAAATCAAAAGTGAATTGTATTTGTTGGCATCTGAGAAGAAAGGAGCCCTTGTCCAAAGAGTCTCAAACTCTGTTATGGCAGTAAAATGTCAAGTTAGCTCAAAGCATCCACTTGGGTACTTACATTTCACTTTTGTCAAAGAAAAGGCAAAGGATTTTTTTGGAAAATACTACTGTAGCTGTACACATTTCTTAGGTAGGTGAATAAAAAATGCATTATGCACTAAATTAAAAATTGTGCACTTGGGTATATAAAGGAGTGTCATATAAAACTTGTTTCGAAATTATGAATTAAGCAGGGTTTTTTGTTGTTAATTTTCACTGCATTTTATGTGATACTGTAATTGAGTGCAATTCTACTCTAATATGTGATATGCAGGAGTTGAGGCAGGAGTGATTTTTGCATAATATGTGATTTAATGATTTAATATAAGCACCCTAGTAGTCTCATTCATTATACATGGAGAGCTGGCTGAACCTGTCTCCCTCCAATAATACGAATGGGAGAATTAAGAGTTGGGTTAAGAATGTAAAATGCATGAGTAAAATGTAGTAAACAATTCAGGAAGATTATGTGTCTATACCTAAATTGGTACATGAGAGGCACACTGTGTTGTAGGTACTTTATTTGTATCTAACAATTCATTGCTATTTCAAATTATATCCAAATATATGAATAGCCTGAATCTTTCTTTACATTTCTTCTTGATAATATTTAAAAAATACTAAATAAATAAGGAAGCTCAAGGTATTTTATCAAATAGATTGACTGAAATGAAAAAGTATAGAGATCAAAATGAAATGTCTTTCAAACTTGAAAATCTAGGAAAATACTTATATTTTGAGAATATTAGATAGACATATTGATGTTCATTATATCATATAGCGTGTCCCTGAAAGGTCTGTACAACATCTCAGTACATATTCCTGAGGTCAAAATAGGCTCATTCAAAGCAACTTCCTTCAGTCAGAATTTGGGGTTTCCCAGATACAGGGAGGTCAAGTTGAAAAATAAAAATCGAATTCTTCAGAATTGATGAACATTTTTAAACATATCACTTCAAAAATTGGTATCCTGGGGCTTTTTGGGATGCAAAACCTGAATACTGACATTTTTTTACTGTGACTCTCACCAAAGGCATTTCTTATGATTTAGAATGGCCATAACAATTTTCTCAGTGTAGTTCCTTACTTTTTCTGTTGATGAAATAGTTTTCCCAATATGTTCAAGCAAAAAGATACTCTTGTGAAAATTCCCTAAAGTAAGCCCATATTGAGATATTTTGTTTTTAGTGTTCCAATTCCCAATAGAATATAATAATATATGCATAATAATATTATGCTTTTATTGACTGCAATGTATATAATACTATGATTAAACAATTATGTAGTTACCCATAATATGAAATACATTAAAGCTTGCAGTCAAAAGGCAGAGTTAATGCTTACCATATACATGATGGGTAGTCTCAGAAAGCATTCTCTTCCACTCAACCTACACTATCACAATGATATAATAATATACTAAAAACTAATACCGTTGAACTAGAGAAAGAAAAAAGTATTTGCATCCTAGTAAACACTGGTATGATATTATATAATTTTTTTCATTTTTAATTCAAAAATTAGTAGAGTCTGTTGAAAGTATATTTTTGATTTTCCATTCAAATAACAGCAGCTCTTTTCCTTTGATTTCATCAGGTATCCTATTGTAAAGCCTGGTTATCATTTAATTAAAAGATGACAGAGATGTAGAATGAAGAGTTAAGCATGACTTAAACCGCATATTGATGTGATGAAACATTTGTTCAAGAGGTAATTTTATTGCTTAGATATGCCGGTTTTCTGGCTACTAATATTTCATGATATGAACGACACCAGTGTAAAATGATCTTTTTCTGCATACTAGCCACCCAATATCATTCAAATGTTCAGTGATGTGATCTCTTCTTCTCAGTCCACAAAGAGTTCTGAATTAGTTGCAGGCATCGCAGATTAGACTTTGATATGGCATGACAGTAAATGGCATATCCATAGTTGAGATAGTTCGAATTTACTCGGCGTTACTTGATGGAAATCCATAGCAAATGTAAAAACTTCACAATCTATAAGATTTCCACAAAATTCTTAGTCACATGACATGTTTTGATAACATCATTTATTGATTTTTTTTTTCATTGTACCAGTATTTCACCTTTGTGAAATTTTCACAGTTGAGATATTTAAATTATTTTTGATAAAAAAATGTTTGCTTTTATCTTCGTGGATGTTATTTGGTCACTGAATTAGCAGTGCAAAAATGGATTGTTCACAATACTTTCTTGGAGTGTACTTGTCGATTTTTATTTTTTAACCTTACCACCCTGTATCTCGGAAACAGAGCAATTTCGCACTGAGGTAAGTTGCTCTGAATCGGCATATTTTAACCTAAGGACTAGAGACCTTTTAGGGTATATTATTATGTAGAATCATAACACCTACAGCACAACTTATTCAAAATAATAAGAGTTAATCAAATCTTCTGAGTATATTCTTGTAAAAAAATTGAACAGAACTTATTATTTCATATACCCTGCTTTCACGTCTATAGACCATACATAGAACTAGAGTCAGTAGAAGGTATAAGTTAAAGTTTGGACACAGAAATGACAACTGTTAGTGTTTTTGAATGTTCAGAATTAGAATTGAAATAAAATTTCATAAACTATTAAGGAGAAAGCATAAATGAAAATGTCCTGCTGTGTGATGAATAGGGGAGTGGATTTTCTTTTTTATTTCTTAAATAGGCTTGAATAGGATCATCACTCAAATACCTTTCAATTCCATATTTTTGATCAATTTTTTGGTCGATTTTTAGGTGCTATAATCATCAATAATGCCACGGTTATTTTCAAACGTCTAGAAATTTACCGCCAGTGAAAACTGACGCCACGTGAAAAAATTGATTATTTCTGAGCGAACTGGATAAAATTGAACATGTCATTTTTTTTTTTACAAATATTATTCTTTGTTTGTCAATTTACAGTTGTTGATATATTTTGTATAATGATATGTTTACCTATAGGTATATAATTATGTACTTCCTTATACCAGAGCCTATTCTGTCTGGAAGTTATTTCTTCAATAAATAAATAAATAAATAAATAAATAAATAAATAAATACCATTGCACAGTTGCCAAGTGTTGAAATACGATTGAGAACTCCAAAATTATTAGTTATTTGATAATTCATGAATACTTAATTGAGTATTGGTAATATTCCTAATTAGCAATAAAGATTCCATTATCTCAAAATGTTCCCTTATGATTTGTGGCTGAATGCTTATAATGAATTTGTGTGATATGTAATGTAATAATTATATAATATAATTCACACTAGAGGACATTCGAATCGGTGAACGTGACACCACGGCGTCCGACTTCTGGGCGTGGTCTTGTAAGCTCTCAGGATTCAGCACAATGTTGCCAAGTCCCCAACATTCATATCATATTTTGTTATGGAAAATGAGAAATATTTGGACATGCTGGTGCTCGAAAAAGTCAATGAAGAACTGAAACACCATGGGTTCCTCCTATTATTTTCCATTCAACGACAGGACTCTAACATCTTTATGATAACGTGATTATAATTGGTGACTTGGTAACCGTGCTTCATGAGTGGAAATGGAAGATTATCTCACCTATAACGATACAGCATAAAAACTGACGTCACTATCTACTCGATGTATCGCCAAATGGAGGCCATGAAGGTTTGTTCGAAATGAGCTCTGAAATTCAACAATTTTGAACAACACATTATTTACAAAACTGTGAGAAGTGTTGCAAAAATTAATTTAGTTTCCTAACGAGACAGTGGAGCAATTGAATGCCAATAATCCATTTTCCTACGAGCGTGCGCAAAAGTAGTACTTTTCCGCACTCATTTGCGTGCGCAAAGTAATACTTTTTCGCACTCAGTGCGGATAAGTAAAACTACCCGAAAATCTCACTGGTATGGAACATTTATATTCATTTTAGTTGCTGTAGACCTATTGTATGCACTATAAGAAGCCGTTATCCCTTTTACTTCTCAACCGTTCTTCCCGATATTTGTATTTCACCTCAATATAAATATTAGGAACAAATGATTTAATTTTCTATCATTATATTCCATGGATATGTAATCTTGTTGTATAGCTATTTCTATCAAGTTTAACTAAAAATTATTCAATAAATTGTAATTTATGTTGAAATTTTTTTATTTTCGTTGTTATCTGATATTTTTTATTTTCGTTGTTATCTGATATGAAGCTCGTAGGGAAAACGTTGTTCCTAACACGTGCGCAAAGTGTCTTTTCCGCACGAAAAACTTATTCGACCTCCGCTCCGCATCGTTCGCCAAACTGTATTTGCGTGCAGAAAAGTAACACTTTGCGCACTTGTTAGGAAAATAACTGTATTGGTCCACTCGCCCATTGTGAGAGTTTACTCTATGTATATCCACGTATATAGAAAATTATACAAGGTAGCTTAACTCAATGGAACGTTCTGATTGGTTCAAATGAATCATATCAAAAAAATAATCTCTGTTGTATTATAAAGTCAGGACAAAGTTGTGACATTTCCATACTAAACAATCATCTGAAAGAAAATTGTATACATTATTTATGGGTATGGAATTATTCTTGGTATTTTTCAGGACGTTTCCGTATAGTTTCCTGAAATATTCTATCCAGAGTTTGGATATATTTCCCTTACTACTACTTCGTTAATGAGTATACTAATATTTTTTTAAGATCTTGATAAGTCACTAGAAGGATCCAGACAGACAAAGCAAAAATGTCACCACTATTATGCTTGTATTTGGGCTTTAATGAGTGAGAATGAGCAGGATGAAGAATTCTCTTATTTTCGAAGACATGAGGTGTCATGTAACATATCAGGTTAGATCCTTCATTTTTGTTTATTTAATACATTCTTTATTGTTCCACAAGACTTGAAAGAGTAAAAACTAGTTAAAAACTTAGTATTCTATTCAGATAGCCCCAGCTTGAAAAATAGCAGATATGATTTTTTACTGGCTAATGCAGACCAATTCACTAGTAAAGGAAATTTGCATATAAACCAAACTGAATCAATTCCTTCTTCATATACAAGTAAAAGTCTTCGTGGAATTAATATAAAAAATAGGAAAAAAATCAAAGTAAGATATACTGAGTAGAAAAATGCTTACTTTTTGAAGTGTACATCAGGTGTTCAACAAGTGTGGAAAAGCTATGTAGTAATGATAAAAGAGATGAAAAAGAGAAATATTTTTTGTAACTTCCTTGTTTATGCCGTCGTTTTGTTCATCAATGACACATTTTGTATGTCTATTGTCATATGAATATTAGTGTCATTTCATTTCTCTTTTATTGAAATATTGGAAATCAATCAATCCAATACAGAACGGCAAAGCTTTGAAAGTTTTTGCCAATTGAAGTATCCCCAAGAACTTATAACCTCAGAGCCTTTCAACACAAGATGAACGTACCTGGTAGATTGTGAGTGACTAATTTTGTTTTGGAATAATAATAATACTAAACTGCTCTTAAGGCAAGCGAAAATGTTTAACTTTCAACACATCATAACTTTGGAGGACAGCCGATTTTCAAATTTTTGCGAGATTTCAATTTTGACCTTCAGCTCAGTGAATCTTTTTTTTCTGAAACATTCCACGAACATACTCTGTAATGTTTGAAATTCTGCACTCAAAGTTGCCTGTGTGTTTGAGGAACATGTTGGGAACTAGAAATGTCCACAGAAACGTTTCAATCTCGGTATCAATATAAATGTTTTGAACCACCTTGTGTGGAACTTTCTGGAAATATCCACAGTCGGATATATCAACATTCTTGATAGTGATTGTGAAATGTTGTTAAATATTCCACATCATTATAATTCCGAATGATATTTTTCAAAGATAATGTTTGATGATCTTGTCGAACATTATACTCATAAATTTGGAATGACATGTTCTAAAATTACTGTTTCAAGTATTTGTCAGATATGCCCAAACCACAAACCTATCAAAGGTGTGCTGGACATCTCTATAATTCTATAATGCCTGGAAAGATATTCACTCACATCTTGATATTGTGAATATACCTCAGCAAACCGAAGAGTTGAGGTTGATCTAATAATTTTCGGAATTATGGGATCTTGTAGAAGAGAAAAATTATGAGTTCGTAAAAGAAGTATAGTATGTAACGCGTTTATAAACTCTTCTAGACAATCGTTCATTAAACACTCGCTCCGCTGCGCTGGTGCTCAAAATACTCCTTACTAATAATAATTGATATTTTAATCATTCACTAGTGAGGTGATTTTGAAATGTTTTCAGTGATTAATACTGGCATGCCTAGATTGATTTTGAGTTTTCTTTATACATCATAGCATCAAAGTTGCCGATAGAATAGCTTTCCTTCTTTGTCGCTCACTGTTTTAAGTTGTTAACAATACTGAAGCAATGAAGGTGTTATGATTAGGTTTCCAGAAGTAAAAGACGACAATATCGAAAAAAAATATTTCCACGGCCACCACGATGCTATGCTTGATTGATGATACATTGTATTTTATTCTCAGAGGGATAAATCACTCAAGAAAAGAGAATTGTTCAGGAAATGTCGCAGCATTCTTCCGAATGTATTGCCAATTGAAATACAAGTTTTGAATAATCCTGCAACAATAGAAGAGAAATATTCTTGGGGCTTCATGGACTGGTTATCCTATGTTACAGAATGCATAAACAAGACAATGCAATTTGACAATTATGGAATAGTGAATTCGCTTGGTTTCCAAATACCTGAGGTTGGTGACATTCTGACATTTACTTCTGGCTTCTGCATGTTAGCGAACCCTTTTCTGCTCATTTGTAATGTTTCTTATAGACCGTTGGCCCGCAACACAGGGTTTATCGATGTTCTAAGTCGGTATGCCATTCAAAGGACCTACTCACTCCTCGGAGAGTCGCAACCCAGTTCTTGCCCCGGCCCTGACCTCACTTTTCGGTTGGAAAAAAGTTCAAAATTTTGTGTAAGAAGAAGCTCGGCAATGAAGTGCAATGATCGTATCTCACGAAAATTGGGGCGCTTGCCGGTTTGCATACGCCTAGGTCCCTCCCCAAGGGCGGCATACGAACCGGAAGTGGAAATTTTTCAGTGGTATAGTCGACGATCAAAGAATGTATGCCCTTTGGCGAAACAATGAATTGGGACCCATTAATCAGTTTCCCGACATTTGCATACGATTCCGGAGAGGGGAGCTGGACTTATTCGAACATCATTTGACTGGATATCCTTCAAATAATCGATTATCGAAGAAATGTTCAAATTTTGACCATGGTTAGTGGACCACACAGTATATATGAGATGATGGTTTGCATACAATTTGCACATTCCGTACAGGGTGATTCACCATAAATATCTCCCATTGTAATTTAGTTGTTTCTCAACCGATTTTAAAATTTCAAAAACCAATTAAGACGGGCCTTTCGCGACAGCTTTCCGACCGAATACAGCCTATATATATACTAGTTCAACAACTATTTCTAGGTGTCAGTGTGATGTCGAAATCGGAATAAAATAATTAAATTACAGCTTTCACAGCTATTGTAGAGTTCTTCGATTTCGTCTGTTACAGCAGGTCACCAATAGGTGGCACACAATTGAATGCAATCGTAGGTAATTGTATTATGTACGTGCAGTGTTGCCAGAGCTACTGCTCCACGGGCCTGCTCAACATGATTCCACTTTTCACTCCATTCAAGTCAAGCAAATACCTATATCTCGCTACAATGAAAATTCATGTCATGAGTCATTTTTGAAACTGTCTTCACAAGTATAGTCTTTCGAATATTTCTTTTCCGTAGACGATTGCCTAGTTTCAAATATCTTCATTCTTACGAATTCACACTGCTTTTACTGATATAAGGGATATATTGATATATACAGTGTGTAGAATGAAAGAAATTCTTGATTCAAATTTCATGTTCTCTAATTCAGACCTGCTTGCTGAAATACAAATTTCGATCATAATTGCACTTATGAAAAAAACATTTTTTTCGAAGTGAGAACTTCTAGGCGCGTTGAGCACTTTTTTGGGTGGAGAAAAACATTGGATTTCACGTCATCGTCATGACCCGTCCCGTGTCCCGTTATCGCGAGGTCAATGAATAGCAATAAATTTGAAGAGTGCAGTATCGCATCTCTTCCGAGATCTCATCTCATATTATGTAGTATTTTGTAATTATGATTAGATTCTATTCTAAATTGGTATATGGAGGTTTTCGGGGTCGGAGATTATGATTCTTTCGTGAAAATTAGGATATTGAAGATGGCTGACGAGTTTTATAATAATTATGATCCCATTCTATTCAAAATTGGTGTCTGGGGCTTCTCGGCGTCGGAGATTATATGATTCTTTCATCATGGCTCCACCAATATGGCGCACGAGTTTCGTAATTATGATTCTATGCCATTTGAAATTTGTATCTGGGGTTTTTTGGGGTCGGAGATTATGAATCCCGAAATGAAAAAATTCAAGATGACGGATTCAATATGGCGGACGAGTTATGTGATGATGATTCTATCCTATTCAAAATTTATATATAAGGGTGTTTGGGGTCGGAGATTATGATTCTATCGTCAAAATTGGGAAATTCAGGATTGCAGATCCAATATAGCGGACAAGTTTTCTAATTTTATTATCCGATTCGATTCAAAATTTTTACTGGTGTTTCAGGGGTCGGAGATTTTGAATCATTTGTCAAAATTAGGAGATTCAAGCGAACACCATCTCAAAAGTTTTTGTTAGTCTATCTTAGACAGCGAATGTTTTTAGGTAATAAAGTTTGTCGAGTTAAAACAGTGTATAGTGTGAGTGTGATTATATCGTACCAAAGTTTCCAGGATTCCCTGGTTTCGGTCTTCAACATAACGGTGAGAAATTGATTTGCCATCATATGCTTTCTATATATATCTCACTATCCATTTTGTTTTAATGGTCAACTTTTTTTAAATCATTTAAAAATCGAATTATAATGAATAAAATGTAAGAAAATTATGTTCATGCTGATATAAAACTCACAAAGTTTTTGTATGAGGAATTTTGAAATGAAATATTTTTCTTGAACAACGCTGTTTCTCCAAAACTAACAACATTTTCTATGTGAGATGTGAGATGTGAGGATGAATCTTGATATTTTGATGTTTACTATTTCTAGCTCACACATTGACCATTTTCATGCTGATTTAAAACTTACAAAGTTATTGTATGAGGAATTTCAAAATAAAATATTTTCCTTGTACACCCTGTTTCTCCAAAACTAACAGCATTTTCTATGTGAGATGTGAGATGTGAGGCTGAATCTTGATATTTTGATGTTTACTATTTCTAGCTCACACATTGACCATTTTGAATGAATAACCCTGTATATATTTCAAAGAAAATTTTAATATCACGGAATTCATTGAATTTCAAAAATCTTCCCCAAAGAAGATGTAAGTGGAATATGAAGTATCTATACCTACGATAATTCTCTAAAACATGAACTGGATGTTCGATAACGTCTCCAAATGTCTCGAAAAAAAAGCGGCTGCTATATTTCCAAATATTTCGTATGTGGCTGACTTTCCCGTTGCCTCGCTTTTCTGCCCATTCTTATGAATTTTTGCGACATATCATTTGCAGCAGCTTGCAACACTGGCTTTTCAATTATTGATTATATGCCGGTTAGTTTGAAGTTCATCTGAAGTTCATGCAATTCAAAGCGGACCGCGGAACCAATGAATATCCCCCCGGTTCGCCGCGGGAGGGAGAGAGACATATAACGATTTCTCGCTCAGTTTTGTTTTGTTGCCGTGGCGGTATTATCCTTTGTGAATATCGCCATATCAATGGATCCAAAATCTGATAACTGTACTCTGAGACGAATGTTTTTGCATGAGTTTTAGAGTGAAATAACCTGAACTTTTGACACAGATTAACGAAGCTTTTTGAAGTTTGTTCCACAACTGTGCCATTCCTATTATTTATTATTTCCATCTATATGCTGACATAATTATCGATCTCATGAATAGAATTGAAGAAAAAAGGTGTTTCATTAGTTTTTCAAACTAATATTTATTACAATAGCTGATACCCGGCAAACGTTGTTCTGCTATATACAATTATTTCCAGAAAATATTTTTTTAGTTAAATATTTATCAACATACTTTTATTCATTTGTTTTCTAATTCTTCTCCGACCCCGAAAACACCCAGATACAAATTTTGAATAGAATCGGATCATAACTACAAAACTCAGTTGCCATCCTCCATCTTCATCAATTTCCTTATTTTGATGAACAATCATGATCACCCATCCCAAAATCCCCCATATACAAATTTGGAATGGAATCGGATTAAGTTACAAAACTCGTCAGCCATATTGAATCTGCCATCTTGGATTTCCAAATTTTGATAAAAGGATCATTATTTTCGACTCCGAAAACCCCCCGATACCAATTTTACATAGAATCTGATCATAATAATTAAAAAACTCTTCCACCATATTGGATCCACCATTTTGAATTTCCCCATTTTGACAAATGATTCATAATTATCTACGACCTCTCAAACCTGCAGACACCAATTTTGAATAGAATCTGAACATAATTACAAAACGTCCGCCATATTGGATCCGCTATTTCGAATTTCCTAATTTTGATAAATCATAATCCCTGACCTCGAAAACCCCCAGATACCAATTTTGAATGATATCTGACCAATCTGTTCTGTTCAGCACCAAAACATACGCTGATGCTCTTAGATTCCATCCAGAGAAGAGCCATTCGCCTGGTGGGTGACGCCACACTCACTCACTCTTTGACATCATTGGAACACCGTAGAAATGTCGGCGACCTTTCACTTTTCTATCGATACTTCCACGGGAAATGGCTATCATCCCTCCACTAGCAATACCAGTCAGACGAAATAGACAAGCCCAATCAGCACATCCTTTCGTTGTCAACCTCGAAAGATGTCGAACAGCACTTTATCAAAACTCCTTCATCCATAGAACGGCTAGGCTCTGGAATTCAGTGCCCGAGGAAGTATTCCCAACAACATATAATCTCCAGAAGTTCAAAAAAAAACTCCAATACCTACCTCCTGTCCCTATCCTCCCTAGGAACGCACGATGTTCTTTGAACATTATAGGGATTTCCTTTCGTGCGCTCCAAGCGATACAAAAAATAATTACAAAACTCGTCCGCCATATATTGGATCCACCATTTCGAATTTCCTTATTTCGATGAAGAAATCATAATCTCCGACCTCGAAAACCCCCAGATACCAATTTTGGATGGAATCTGACCATAATTACAAAGCTCGTCCGCCATATTGGATCCGCCATCTTGAATTTCCAAAATTTGACGAAATATTCATAATCTCCGACCCCGAAAACCCCTGAGTACCAATTTTGAATGAAATCGGATAACTATACTCGGTCGCCATATTGGATCCGCCATTTTGTATTTTCTATTTAAAAAATAGATTACGACCGATTCTCATACCTACCGAATACGCACAAAAAATTTCATACGAATCGGTCGAGCCGTTTCGGAGGAGTTCGACCACTATGACCGTGACCGTGACAGGAGAATTTTATATATTAGATTTGTTCGTCTTACAAACACTCGGAGAACCTCCCCTTGAAATATGCCCAGATAATTGAATAATACCCTCTGTATTATCACGTCGCCTAGATTTCATAATATGTCCGAGTAATATGTATAACATTGGCAACGGTGTAAACGGGTTTGAATTCATCATCTCTCCTTAGCGCCATCTGCTTGCAATACAATGCACCATTCCTCTCTGCCGCAGTCTGTCATTTCGAACACTGCCATCTATCAGGTAGTGCTTGAACTACCACATCCTAGTTTCCTGCATTATATTCTTTCAAGAAATGGAGTTTACCGAGATCAGCTGGGATGAATGGATATTTTGTTGACAGAATAATCGTTTTTGTTGCTTCCTGTCCGAATGGAAACATTCCAAGAGCTGATATTTCAGTGACACCTCGCCGAATTTCCAACAATTGTACTGAGATCGAAAATATTTCAATTTGAGACAAAAAAATTTCAATGTTTACGTTTTTCAAAAATCTGTATCTTCTATAAATAAATGAGTTTCGACTCCGTATGATAACCAGGCCCTAGTCCCAACCTTCTTCTTTACGATGATTCAATCTGTTTTTCAATTGAATCATTCATAAGCCCAAATAGCAACAACTAGTGCAGGCCTGCATGTCGATTTGGTTGAAACTCTCCTCTTAAAATGATTTTCCTAAAAGATTGTTCATTGTTATTAAAAAATTCACTTGCTGTTTTTTACTGGAACACTATATTTTATTTCACTATCGAGTTGAGATTATCATGACGAATACAGCTCTACAGCATCTAGCGATATCATTTACACGCAGCCCTTTTATAGCGATCATGCGCCAAATTGTCAAATTGTGCTGAAAATGTGAATCCTGAATCCCGGGTTTGAAGTATTTATTTGCGTCTTCGAATACCCCCATCACTCCCAGGAAGTTAATCGTTGACCCGGTTTCATGTGAAGTGAGATTATGAGACTTCCAGATTATTACAACGTGTGTTCACATTGAATTCGTATGCAAATAGCATCCAGTTATACAGAATATCCTAGTTTATCGGTCCAGAGATGTGCATACGAACTTAAATCATCGATTATTTGAAAGATCTCTAAACAATTGATGTTCGAATAAGTCGAGCTCCCCTCTCCGGAATCGTATGCAAATGCCGGGAAACTGATTAATGGGTCCCAATTCATTGTTTCGCGAAAGGGCATACATTCTTAGATCATCGACTATAACACTGGAAAATTGTCACTTCTTGTTCGTATGCCGCCCTTGGGGAGTGACCTAGGCGTATGCAAACCGACAAGCGCCTTAATTTTCGTGAGATAAGATCATTGCACTTCATTGCCGAGCTTCTTCTTGAACAAAATTTTTAACTTTTTTCCAACCGAAAAGTGTGGTCAGGGCCGAGGTAAGGACTGGGTTGCGACTCTCCGAGGCACTCCTTCCTGTTAACTTGGACTAAGTGAGTGGGTCCCTTAAATGGCATACCGACTTAGAACATCGATAAACCTTGTGTCGCGGGCCAACAGTCTATTATGATTATACGATGTACCAGCTTAGTGAACAACTAAGAACGGCTGTCGGTGTGATCTGGAGTATCAATTGATATCGTGAATTGAAAATGTAATGTATGCATATTATTACACGATCAAATTGAGAAACTAAATCTCAACAGACCAACGGAAACTGCAACATGATAGCTTTTCGCTAACGGAAGATATTGACGATCAAAGTTGGATAAAGGGTTGATGACAGCCGTTTTTAGTTGTTCAACCTGTACGTACAAAAGTCTTCTATTGAGCGATTGCAGTATATTTCAAATGAAAGTTGCCAATATACCTATATATAAGATCTGTGTAGTCCAAGTAATCAGTGTTTCTTCATCAATACATGGGGTTTCAAACAAAAGTGACCCCCTTGCTAGGGTAGGTTGAACACTTTCAAAATAAGTTGGGATTATGCAGTAAACAAATGTCGTAATGGCAGCCTTGTGTTAAAAAAATTAGTTTTCACACATTTCTCACGATTTTGTCATAACTACTGGCAACATTAAAATGATATTCTATATAGATATGTTCTGGAAGCTGAAACATAGCATGAATTTTAAACATAACTTCTTTGAGGTTAGATTGTTCAGTTCACATTTTATGTGAACTTGAACATAATTCAATTCAACAGTTGAATGTTATTCTTGATGAAACTCAATACTGTGTACTGTTTTCGAAATATTCTGCTTTGATTATAATTATAAAATAATGCATGGTGTCTATGAAATAAGTTTATCATTTACTTATTTATTCAAATTCAAAAACAATAACATTATTCTTTTCCTAAAGTTATTCATTTAACAAAGAATCGCAAGTAAAAAATTGAAATAAATTGTACTAAAACATAAAATATTGAATCAGTTAGAGTCCAGGTTAGAGTAAATGTTCAAAATGTCCCCCGTTTCCACGAAGACACAATTCAATCTTTTTTTTTTCACTCTCCTAAATGGTTGAAGGTCATCTGTTAGGTCATTCAAGTGATGTTAAATTTTGTCTTGCCACTCTAGACGTTAATTTACCTCTGTAGCATAGACTTTTTCCTTAAGATACAATTAAACTACACTCAGTTCCAAAAATGTGACGCACTTGATATTTGACCTATTGTCTTTTATTTTTTTGCATTTTTTGGTAGGTAATGCATTTGTCTTAAAAAGAAATAAAGAGGTGAACATTTTTCGAAGCCTCCTTGATGGTGGTGGATCAACTGGAACCATGATTTATTCTTAATTTTTGACTCACCCTGTGTGTCAATTGAGTAATGGTATACAAAGTGCTCACACCCTATACGAAAGAGGCTTCTTTTGTGAGCATTTTGTTTTTTTATTCATTGATTCATCTCTAAAATTTTCCGAATTATAGCTTTTTTTGCTGAATCCTTGCAGATTACCAACTTTCTGAATTTATCGAGAAACAATTTTTTAATGAAATAAACTGATACCAATAATTATAAAAAACATTTTTATTAAACACAACCGTGTAACTAGCGTCCCCTGTGAAAATAAGATATAAAAACAAATTCATGGGATGTATCAGCTTCCAAAACACATCTATACCAAAAGTCATTACAATGATGCCAGTAGTTAATAATATAATAATAATAATAATAAATGCAGAACAAATGATTGAAATAGTTTTTCACAATTATTTTCGCATAGGAATCGTGTTTTTCGGCTATTGATTAATTCGCATCATCACATTGTGCTGTTGTATAATGCACAAAAAATGCAGCGAGAGCCGAAGGAGTCCGGTTGGTACATTTTGATTTAAATGTAAGTACCTACTGTAGTCACTCACATATAGTTTTCATTTTGAAATTTCGTAATTTCCCTAATTTCTCATCGGAATTCCTTCTGCAATATGAGTTATAATAGAAATACTTGTGAAATTTTAATGCAAGAAGATTGGATTCATGTAATCAAACAGGAGGATTGGTCTGACATGCTGACGAAATATGATCATGTGTGTTGTAGACATTTTCAATCTTTTAGCAGTATTAGCTTCTATTGCAGAAGTGGCAGAAGGAATTTCAATAAGATATGACGAAATTTCATGACGAAAACTATGTGAGATTACTATTTACCTGAAAAACCATATTCCTTCGTCTCTCGCACACTAATTGGTGGATTTCAAAGTCATTATCTGATGTTACGATGACGTTTAACCAAGGAGATATTATTTTGAACTAATGGCATAGTTTGAATGTTGGATGTACAAGTTTCACCGCCATCTAACTATTTTATGGCTCTATAGTATTATTTTGTTCGATTATTTTGATGAATATTACAAATTGCGAATGCATAACTGATGTGGATATTCTGTGTAGGTACAAAATAATGAAGAGACATTTCACTCACAGTTTGAAAACCTTCATGATACATTACTTGCGTTTGATGTTTTTATTTTATTGTTTACCTCCATGTCGCCCATCATTAGAAATGGGCAAGAAAATTGTTAAATGTTCTCCTTTCAGAACTTTTACCAGTGTTTCAAAAACAGAATACCTAGTATCTATGAACCAACCCAACTAGGTTACTCATTCGTCTACAATGTGATGAATATTTTACATCTCAAGGAAATTTTCGATACATCACAGGTAATTCTTCAAATAGCCCTTCGCCATCTTGTTCAAAGCGGTTGTTTCTTCCAGATGAAATTGAGAATATCAAAAAAGTTTGTTCATGACGAACAAAATGGTTATGTGGAATATGACGAAGCCCAGGACGAGGGGGAAGAAAGAGTTGATTCTTTCCACTATCCGTTTATATTCTTCTTCAATGTTGGAGAGTCGACAGTTGATGAGAGTGACAACATGAACAATTCGTTCTACATTGAATGGACACCATCAATAACTAGTGTAACCAACATTGGCCAGCTGAAATTTCAGTACAAATATGGAAGAAAGGGTACTTGAGATAAAGCTAATGAGTTGAGATTTGTGAGATATACACATTAAAAATCGTTAAAAGAGTGTCATTGCATATTAATAATTCACCATTTAATACCTCTACAACTATATGTATACACTTCAAAAACAAGAAATTGCAAATCACATGCAAAGAGCCTGAATTGAATATGTTGAGGTTCGTCTTATTTGATGATTATTTTGTGTTAAAAAAATGTATGGGGTCAGTTTGTACTCTGGTCCACTTTCAAGGATGTTTTCCCTTCTTTCTGGGTCCGGAGGATGGAGGATCCCGTCATGCACCCATATTATCACGTGATTCATGGTAACCAATGAAATGATGAGTTTTAGGAGTGCTTTGTAAATTTTGAGCTCTCCTATCGCCTGGCGAAAATGCAATACGCCTGTGTACCGGGTGTAACTGAAAGGTCTGTACAAAATATTAGCACATATTCCTGAGTTGGAAATGAGCCGATTTGAAGCAGCTTACCTCAGTCCGAAATTGCTCCGTTTCCGAGATACAGGGTGGTAAAGTTAAGAAATAAAAATCGATACGTACGACACTCCAAAAAGAATTTTGAAAAATCGATTTTTGCACTGCTTATTCACTTACCAAATAACATCTACGGAGATATATCATCAAACATTTTTCATTCAAAATAATAAGAATATTATGCGGCATCGAACACTAGGAACCGAAATATTTACCCTTTTTGCTTATGTGTTCGGCAAATTATTCTATCAATAGAAAAAAAAAGTAAAAAGGGGAGAGGGAGAGGAAGAACCCCGATTTCCGTTTTACTACATTCAATAATAAAAAAGGTATAGGGGTGCGCCATCTTGGAAAATCACTTGTTTATAAAGGTCCTGTGTGTGTTTTGTAGAGAGAAGTTTGTTTTGTTTTATATACAATCACCAGCAAGAAAACCGTCTACCAAAAAATTTAGCCAAGTTGTTTGCCCTGTATAACTTTTTTAATTCTTGTCCGATTTTGGTGGAATTTTGACCAAATGGTGAATTCGCGTTTCAGAGTGTTGGCCTGAATATTAGTTCCTAAGAGAAGTAGATGGCATGATCATTATACAGGAAAAAACAAAAGTTACTCTTTCACCCTCAACTTCTTAACACCCTGTGGCAAAGCTGAGTGGTTAAACTTGGCTTCATCATGTTTTTCATTGATGTGTGATCCCTTCTTGACACAATGATTTTTTGATTGACGTTAATAACCACTTCGAATTTTGAAAAAGGTACAAGAGTTTCATGAAACTATGGATTTTTTAATTTTCAATAACAAGAATTCATAACCATTCTACAACCTTCTGCTTCATCATGTTTTGAATTGAAGTGTCCTATCTTGTCCCTTCTCAATACGGTAGTTCTAGATTCACGTCAATATCTTATTATTAGGTAAAGATACAAGTGTTTTAAAAAAATATGGAATTTTTTAAATTTACTAACAATTATTTAGAACTATTAGAGCATCTTAGGGATGAACTCCAGTGACTCATTTGTCTTCCTCCAGCCTTATTAAAGACTTCAAAAGCTATGATTCGCCCTTCAAGGAAAAATTTAGGCAATTCTCTCTGCAATTCTTCATGACTACTTGAAAAATTTGATCACCATCACGATGCTACGGCGGTTGAAATCTGTAATACAAACTCGAGGCGGGCATACCTACTCGTTATTGACAACTGGTCTGCGGTTTGTTTATTGTAATAAAGTTTTTTCCGGTATGTGATGAAAAAATGAGGTAGAAAGAAGTTGTTTCTCAATAGATACCTATATCATACACCTACATAGTAACAAGGTTCCGAAGATTCAAAGCCAAGTTTCTGTAAGAATCGGAATGTAAGATCTGTACGCTGTTTCTGCATGAAATTTATTTTGCACACTACATTTCTATACAATACACTTTTCGGCATAGACTATAGTGTAGTGGAGTAGAGTGTAGTGAATTGATATCTTGTTCGTTGCTTGTGGTGTAGTCAAGTGTATTGGTATTTCGCGTATTCTAATTGCATTGTAAAAACTCTTGGAACTTGAAAAAAAAGAGATAGTGATGATGAAATCATTGACAGTTATTATTTCTTGGATTCAGATGGTGAATCAATTACAAGTTCTTCTGATCGAAGAGGATTTATCAATGAAATCTGTTTCATCAGTAGTTGATGGATAATCCATCTCAGGATTAGAAATGTTCACTGAAATGATTAAATCATTTACAAAACAGAGATTGTTATTGTTTATGCTCCAAAACGAACTCCTAACCTAACAACTATCTGCACTACACTTCTCACACCTCCTCAAGATCAAGTGTAACACTCTGTTTTGGCGCTCAATTATCTCCAGTTATTGTGTTACAATACTTTGACAACGAACACATCAGTGTGAGTGTACACCATATAACACCGAAACGGTGCTACACAATCTACTCTGGTGTACAATATTGTAGTTATTAGAGGCACAGCGAACAGACTTGTAGCATATTTATAGCAGATAGCGATGAAAAGTCATGACCAAACATGATAATATAAAGATGCAACTTTCTGGTAGCGGCAACGCTGCATCGCTGAAAATATTTCTAGTCATTGAGTAACTCTTATTGCAAATAGCCATTCAGGATATTCCCATGTCCCGAATTTCTTATACGTCTAATAAAGTTACCATCGACCGTGAGACAGCCTGTATATTGTGTTAATTTTGAAGTTCATATATTGTCTATACCTACTGTGTCAATTTTGAAATGCTATGCTGTGATTTTGATAATGTATGATATTGTAAAGCAAATATTCTGGTAGGTGAATTCAGCAAATACTGTGTTGAATTTATTCTTCACAACACACGTCATCCCAATTGGTGAACAGTATTTTTTTTTCAACAATGAAATATCAACTTCATTTGAGTTTTATTCATATCATTGTGTTTATATTCTGATATCCCACGTGCGTGAATCATTTACTCATGATAGTTCTTACAATAAAGATAACAGATTGATACATTTCTATGTACCGAATTATTCGTCAGTGGACTATGCGTTCAAAAGGCCATCTAGATAACGACAGTGAACAATTGAACTCAGTATCGATTATCAGATCCACTGCAAAACGAGCGGATCAACATGTCAGATAAGATAGCAGTTTCCTTAGTTGAGGAAGGAAACGCAGAAAAACACGCAAAAGAAACACTGAACGAAACCGAGGAGACAAGGACTTCTGGATTACACGATATCAAAAAATGGCTAACAGAAGAAAAAACAAACCTCCATGCCCGTCTAGAAGACCAATACATCCTTCCGTTCTTGAGGGGATGCAAGTTCGATCTGAAAAAAACCAAAGCCAAACTGAAAAGGTTTTACAAGATGCGCAGAGACGTGCCAGAATGGTTCAGGAACAGAGATCCGAGCCTTCCTGAGCTGCAGGAGCTGATGAAGCTGGGGTGCTTCGTGCCTCTGAGGCGGTTTCACGAAAACAAGTTGGTCGTTATAGTGCGTGTGGCTGTACACAATCCACGGATACACCAGCAGAACGATGTCTTCAAACTTGGCAATATGCTCACGGATGTGGCAGCTATGGAATACGCGGTTGCCGCTCAAATTTACGGGGTTGTCGCCATATTCGATATTGCAGGTGAGTCCGTTTATTAATAATAATTGTAGGTAGGCTAGTTGTCATATGGAAACATATATTAGAGAGAGAGAGAGAGAATATACTTTATTGTCATAAGAAAATATCTTGTTGACAAAGTTTCATTTAACCTATGAAGTCAGGTATATAAATATATAAAAAAGTATAAGTCGTAAAAAATACATTTGAAATAAACAATTTCACTTACTAATTAAAGTCAGTTTGTGTGTATATATATAAAAACATATAAGTCGAACAAAAAATCCGTGTAAAATAATAAGTTTGACTCAATCTATAAAGTCGTGTCATATAAATAAACGAAATATAACTAGTACAAAAAATACTCTACCACGTCTCAGAATAGTACTCCTCCAAAGTATAGTAAGCTACATCAAGTAATGCTTCTTCAACAGATTTTCTAAAATTTTTGAAAGAGTAAATAGTCTTCAGGCGTAAGGGTAGGTGGTTATATATTTTTATGCCTTCGTATATAAGTGATTTTCTGGCCAGGTTCGACTGGTTCGAGGAAGGTATAGGTAGAGGTAGTTTGAGATTATATATCCTACGTGTTCTGTGATACAACTGGGGATTATCTAAATTGTCACGATTTTTAAAGACTAAGCACACGCTTTCTAGTACTAGTAAAGAAGGTAGACTGAGTATTCTCTGAGAGACGAAGAGCGGCCTGCATAAATGTATTATATTCTTGTGCTCAAAATAATACACTCAGTTCCGAATAAAGTGACGCACTTGATATGTGACCTATCTTCTTATGAAAAAAAAAAGATAGTAGGCCGATTTTAATTTTTCTTAATTTGTAAGTAGGTATAATGCATTTGTCTTAAAAAAAATAAAGAGGTGAAAATGTTTTCAAAGCCTCCTTGATGGTGGTGAAATAACTCGAACAGTTTTTCTGCTGATACCTTACGCTTATCCCACAAATAGAATTTATTGAAGGATCAGAGAACTCAAAATTGATTGGGTTGTACTCTGGAAGGATCACATTGTCTGTAAAAAAACAAATGCCGTTGCCATAGCAACTAATTTGTTGTATGCCTCCATATTTGACTATTTGTCGTTGTGTCATTAATTAACTGTCTTGTTTTATTGACTAAAATTACATATGAAATGCCTCAAATAAATCCTGAACAAGTAGCAAGCGTTAGCAAACGATGGGCGTAGTAAACTTTACGCCGCTCGCGCAGTGGGAGTTCATGAAGCAACTGCTCGTAGAGCAATCCGCAAGTACGAACAAACAGGAAGTACCGCTCGGAGGGTCGGTTCTGGTCGCCCCCGAAAAACTTCTCCAAGAGATGATCGCTTCTTGAGATTTTACTGAGCGGATTTTACGGAATCGATCAAATACTGGTAAATGTTCAGCAAGATCTTCGCCAAATTTGTGATGTTGCAGTAAGTAAGCAGACGGTATGTAGACGTCTAAAAGAAGTTAATTTAAAAGCTAGGAGCCCTGCAAAAGGTCCCAAATTATTTCCCGAACATCGTGCTGCTAGAAGAAATTTTGTTGAAAATTATGGACAGTGGTATATTCCTGAATGGTCAAATGTCTTGTTTACGGATGAGTCAAGGAGAAGAACTGGTGAACGGTTTAATCAAAATTCAATAACAGAATGCGACAGTTTTGATGGTGGGTCCGTTATTGGTTGGGGAGGGATTTCAATGAATGGAAAGACACCCCTTCATGTTTTTCCGGTGAGGCAGTCGATGAATGCCCAAATTTACATTGACATTTCAGAGCAGTATGTCTTACCTTATGCAGAGTTAGTGGGCAATAATTTTATATTGATGCAGGATAATGCCCCGACCACACACCGCAGCAATAGTGCGAAACTTCTTAGAAGCTACTGGTATTACCACATTACAATGGCCTGCGAGAAGCCCCGATATGAATCCTATAGAACATTTGTGGGATGAATTAGGGAGACGGGTACGTTATCGCAAGAGGTCTCCGGAAAGTCTCGCAGAAATGGCAGATGCATTAGTGGAAGAATGGGATCGTATACCAATGGAAACGATAAGCAACTTAATTTCCAGTATGCCTCGTAGATTAGAAGTTCTTAGAGTTGCTAGTGGAGGCAATACACGGTATTAAGCAGTCATCCCAATTTATAATTTTGTGTTTTATTAAAATGTTTTTTTAAATTATTGGTATCAGTTTATTTCATCAGAAAATTGTTTCTCGATAAATTCAGAAAATTGGTAATCTGCAAGGATTCAGCAAAAAAAGCTGTAATTCGGAAAATTTTAGAGATAAGTCAATGAATTAAAAAACAAAATGCTCGCAAAAGAAGCCTCTTTCGTATAGGGTGCAAGCACTTTCTATGCCAGTACTCAATCAACATACAGGGTGAGTAAAAAATTAAGAATAAATCATGGTTCGAGTTATTCCACCACCATCAAGGAGGCTTTGAAAAAATGTTCACTTCTTCATTTTTTTTTAAAGACAAATGCATTACCTACCAACAAATAAAAAATAAAAAAATCGGCCAACTATTTTTTGTTTGTTTTTTTAAGAAGATAGGTCAAATATCAAGTGCGTCAATTTTTTGGAACTGAGTGTAGATTATCTCTGGAGTCAATGATGAAAGCTGATAATCTCGAGGGATAGATATTAACGAACCGAGTCGTGACGAGGTAAAAACATTCAGAAAGAATAATTGCCAGAACTATGCCAAAACTACAGTCAACTCATTTAACCCATCAGTGTACAAAGTTCGGAAACAATTGATTTCAAGTTTTCTCTATGTTTTTGTGATAGAATACTTTTTGTTGAATAATTTACCAAAATTCATAGGGAATAAAAAAACTAAGTGTCCCTTAACCTTCCAGTAGTCGCACGCGGAGTATCATTCCGCACGAATATAAAACACGAGTTTTCTCGAATATATACTCCATTCCCTTATTCCGCCGCACTCAGTACCTTCCTAAAATGAAGACTTCAGTACGAATCGAGTATAACCGATGTGCAAAATTGCTTCGATTTTGAATTTCATAGCGTAGTGCGGAGTCGTACTCTGCAGCGATCTTAGACGTCTTAGTTATATTGCATATTGCAGTTACACTTTGCAGCTATTTTGGGCGTTTTAGGCAAAAAATTTGCCTCATTTGATAAATGATATTCCATAAAATACCGTTTATTTAAATACTGTCTGTAGGTTAATCGAGGAGGTGGTACATTCATTTTACTTGGTTCTTTGGGATTTTCTCTCCTCGTTTCTATAAAATAAAAGTATTCGTATTATTTGTAAACACACTTGATAGATGCTACTCTGTGATAAGAAAAATAGACACACCCAATTTTATTGTAGTACATGTGCTTATTAGAACCCGCTTTATTCATTTGCAGAGATTGCCGATGAGTCATAGGTGGTTTGAGATTGAAACATTATCAGTTTGACCTCAAATTATAGTGTTTTTGTTCGAATTGTAGTTATCAAATCTTTGATATTTGTCTTATGTTAATTTTGGGTTTTGTTATTGAATAAATATATCTTTATTGCAATTTTGACATTTGACTTCGTAGAGATATTCATGTCCAAAATGATATCTTTGGAACAATTCAAGTCATCATCATTCAAACCACCCAAATACTCCATTGCGCGACTACTGAAAGGTTAAAAGGAAAGTTGTACACACCTGATAACATGAAATAGCATTTATTGCATGAATGGAATAAAATGAAACAGCGATATTGCTGTAACCGGTATCATTATCATCCGTTCGTTGGGATGATAGGAGAACTCCGTAGGTAACGAATAGTTCATTTTCAGTCAAAATCGAACATAATTATTAGTATGCCTAGGCAGCAAAGTTACTTTTTCGCCTGCCAAAAGGGAAGTTATCGCCAAGGCCGTTTCTGGGCGGGGCAAGATGATCTTGAAGAGGTCGCCAAGCAGTTTGGCGGCCATGGTATACATACTATTTTGACGGTTATTGACAAAACAAAAATATGATCTGATCATGATGTGTCACTGAATAACCTTGCCTTTCTCGTAGTTTCGGAATATCGAAGTCGAAAGTGACGTTCGGTTTGCAAGCCGTTGCTATATGGGTGACGGCTAAGAATTTCTACTTCGCGTGGTACCTACCTACTCTCTTCGCATACGACTGCAGAAAAAAGGATTTTCTATACATGTTATAAAGATATATCTGCTCAACTATTGTAAAAACTGATTATTGATCCAACAACAGAACAGCTTGAAAAACGGAACTGATGTGACATTAGGACACTTCCTCTCTACATGGATCTCTTTGGAGACCTCTGGAGATTTTTGCTAAACATATTCCGGCTTTGGCGATTTCGACTTTCTAAACTTTTTTCTGGATTTATTTATTTTATTTATTTATTTCATTTATTGAACAAATAACTTCCAGACAGAATAGGCTCTGGTATAAGGAAGTACATAATTATATAACTATAGGTAAACATAGCATCATTCAAAATATATCAACAACTGTAAATTGGCAAACAAAGAATAATATTTGTAAAAAAAAATTGCATGAATAATTTTATCCAGTTCGCTCAGAAATAATCAGTTTTTTCACTTCATTTTTGATTTTTTATATTATCAGGTAGTTTATTGAATTCAGTTAAGGCTGAATGAGTAAATCTTTTTTGTCCGATTATGGAGCTAGCGGCGTCAAGATGAAACAAGTTATATTGTCTAGTCTCATGATTATGAATTTCAGAATTCCGTATCAAAATAATATTCGACTTCAATTTTTTATTCATGATATTATATGATATTTTAAGAGTTTCAATTCCATATATTTCATCTAAAGAATTCGTATTTGTTATTTCATACAATTGATTGGTTGGTGTATCAAATGGGAGACGATACAATACTTTTAACGATTTTCTATATAATGTTGATATTTTATTGAAATTATTTTTTGAACAAGATCCCCAAACATTTATTAAATAGTTGATACGACTCAGTATATGAGAGTAGAGAATCATGTTTGCAATTTTAATATCAAGTTTGGGATATCTTCTCAATGCACCAATAATTGGAGATATTTTTTTTGTCAGAACATCAATATGTTTGTCCCACTTCAACCTGTCATCAAACCAAATACCAAGATATTTTATCTGGTCAGTTTGTTTCAAGAGTTCATTTTTTATTTTAAGGTTGAGGTAAATTTTTTGTTTTTTTTTTGGTGAAAAATCATATATTCTGTTTTGTTAGTATTTATCGATAAAAGGTTAGATTGGAGCAATTTTTCAAATATTTTCAAGTCTTCATTTATCATATTTTCTGAATTTGAAGGACTCTTGCCTTCATATAAAAGTACTGTATCATCTGCATACATGGTATATTTACACGCTAGACCATTTTCACTGATATTTTGAACATAAAGTAAATATAGTATAGGTCCTAAAACAGAGCCTTGTGGGACACCCTTATCGATTAATAGTTTATTTGACACAGAGTTGTTTGATTTTGTATTGATCGTCCTATTTTCAAGATATGAATTCAAAATATTTCTCACAGTGCCTCTGACTCCCATTGTTTTTAAGTTTTCTAAAAGTGTTGTATGATCAACTGTGTCAAAAGCCTTTTTGAGATCAATGAAAACAGCTACCACATAATTTCCTGAATCAAGTCCTCTCTGGATTGATTCTATCACTTGTGTTCCACTGTTTTCTTGAAAACCAAATTGAGACATACATCCACCATCAGTTGATTTTAAGTAATTAGGTAGTCATGACTAGCAATGCATTGTGTTGGTTCAACTTTCAAAGACACATTGAGCACGTGGTGTATCTGGTCCCAGACGATTGGCTTGGAATTCGTCATCTGACGACTCACTTTCTCAATCAGTCTCTTCCCTATCTACTGGAGGTGTCATCTAAATATCACCTTCCTACAAAATGTTCATCTTTTATAATAATTGTAGACGGTTGGTGTAAGGATGATCTGAAACAATAGTATGCGGTCACTGAGTATGATGTCCGTTTAAAGGCGGACGGGCATATGTCGATGCTATTTTTATGTAGTTACTGACAGCAATATTTTTGACTGTTTTTTTTTATGTATCACTTCTACAAATATTCTGGACTGAACTGATTCAATGTTATGTGGTAAATTCTGAAAGATTGATGCTAAAAAAAACAAAACTTTTTTCGCCGTTCCTGCTGCTATACTGAATGCTATACAAAACAGATAGTGAATAACAGAATAACGTACTTAGGATACGATCATCTTATCATTGAACATAACTTCAAAAACGAAATAACTGGTTGGTAATTTGTTTATATATTTATTTATTGATACAATACATTCAGCTGGCCCAAAAGCCCATTTACAGGTGTATACACTTAGCATTATGAATAACACATATAACAGAAACAATTCTTAATGAAACGGAGAATCAATTTTTTGAATTGTTTGAACGTTAGAAAAAATGTAAAACGTTCAAAGGTAAATGTGCGTCCCTTTAAACGGACATTAGACATTATGCACTAATGGGATAATCCAGATACTTAATACGGAGAGATTCTTTGTTTTCGTCCATCTCAATATACAATAAATACACAAACACTACGCTTTTGATGACACTGACACTCTTGAGTTTTTTAATCCTGTTTTCATAGTATTATTCTTGAGACAGCTTGTGATTGGAGTGCAAGAGAGGTAATAATAACTTTCAATCCCTCATCACTATTCTCGCCGGGAACGATGTATCGCATTGTACAGGGTGATTCAATAAGGGTGACGAGATACTGTTTCTAGGTTATTGAGTTTCATGTATTTTTTGTTTTCATATGTGAAATTGTGAAATTGTTCCATCCGTCATTCGGTTGCCCCCTTACGAGCAACCCTCAGAAGTCTTCGAGATACTTGTGCGATCAAGGAATGACGGGGGCATTACCTTTTAACGTGTGATCCCAAACACTTTCTATGTGCAATATTTCTGTGTATGTGCAATATAATCCAATAAATGAAGGAGGAAAAAAGGCAAAGTTAACGTTAATTACGCACTATTTTCATCTTCCGGTTGGAAGTAGCTTTTGGTACCTCATTAAACATGAGACAAAGTTAGACTGGAAAACGCGTGCGATGGCGGAGAAAATGGCCCCAAAAGACC